TTGATTTATTTTACTATCTAATAATTTCAGACAAAAAAACATAATATTTGAATTAAAGTGTTATTGCCTATTACAAATTTTTTTTTTAAATGTAATTTTTAACGCGACTTTATTTATTGTTGTTTTGTATTTTATTGTGGTTGTTAATTATATAACAATTGGATTTAAAAATATGATTAAATTGTAAATATGATATCTTTCAAAAAAAATAATTGTAAATGTAATATTTTATCGGTTACATATTAGGATAAAATCTTTAATGTGAAAAGATATTTTTTTATTTTTAAATAATTTAAATCCTAAATCATTATTTGTTGTTTTTTTAAAAGATAAAAATATTATAAAAAAATTATTAAAAACATGTATACTATTTATCTTCTATTTTGATAGAATCACCAACTTCGTTCACACCCATATATCTTCCATCTAATCAAAATGGATAAATAAAACATGTTAGCAAAAATAAATTTATATAAAATTAATCTTTATAGTCTTGTAAATAAATCAATATATATATTTACCAGGAAGTGAAAAATTATTGTGAAATTGATCTAAAATTTTTAATTGTAAAAAATCAAATCTATGCATTGGAATTTTTTCATCGTCCTCAATCGCCCGAACAATAGTATTTTAAAAAATTAAATCATTATTTTTTTATCACTGACAATGCTTGCGATATTGCTTCTTATTTGTAACGATTGAAAAATATCTAATGGCGTAAAATTTTCTTTCAATTAATTTTGGACGAAATTGTACAAGGTTGGCTTTAATTGCGGCATGAACGTAATCACCCTGTAATTAAAAATAAAAATTAAGTTAATTTGATGACTTGATTATGCTACCTAAATCACAAAAATTTATTTTAATTATATAATTAATTAATAAAAACTAAAAAGGTTTATAAAAAATTTAATAAATGTAAACGATATATAAAGATGTAATACCTCTTTTTACTTTGATTTTCCAATCATTTTTGCTCGAATTTAATTATCTGATTATATTAGATCTACATGTAAAAACAAAATTCAATAAATAAAAAATAAACATATAATCATTAAGTATTCTAAATAAACACAATGTAAGCAATAATCACAAATTTACATTTAAACATGGATTTTAAAAATTAAATTAAGAATTACGCAACCATTGATGACATAAAACTGACTCAACTGATACAAAATTCGCTTGATTTGATTTTGTATTGTTATGAAATTTTATTGGTGTTGTAGGATGCGTCAATTTATAGTGGTAGACATCACAAATTTTAATTTAATTATAATTAAGGAATAATTTTTTATTTCTTATTATAAACACTTTAAAGATTATCTTAGATATATAAATCCTATATCTTAAGATGATTTTTTTTTAAAAGATAATTTTTAGTTTTTAAAATAAATTAAATCCTAATAAATCATTATTCGTTGTTTTTTACGTACGTGGAAAATTTCTTAATTCTCATTCGTCGCTTTTATGTAGGTGGCAAGTGAATTTTTTAATTCTAAAATAAAATAGAAATCTAATTTTTAATTGGTCAAAAATATACATTTGCTTATGTGGCGCGCCGAATACTCTCTAAAAATGCCTACTTTATTTATATATATTAGATTTGGCTTTCTTGCAAGTTGCAGATAGGTTTTGGGTTGATAGATGATAATAAGCATGATGACTTCTCTACGATTATGGAAGTTGGAAAGTACATTTACGGCGACAAATATTACCATTAGCAATACTTTCAAATATTATATACGTATAGTACTAATACATAGTTACTAAAAATATCTAATTAAATCTTTCCTTCAAAAAAACTTTCCTAATTAGTAGAATATGTAACATTCAAGTTCAACCGACTAAGAATTATTAGAGCTAAGACTATCAACTTAAAAACTCTATAAATACCCTTAAAATCAGACATAGAAATCATGTACTACTTGCAATTCAATTAACATCAAAATTCTTTTATAAGATCATTTATTTTACGCGAAACAACACTACACAACACAAGTAATAAGATGACTATTGTTTCTCGTAATAATATCGTGCCATATATAATGCCTTTACCTATTATTCCTTTACCAATCTTGGTACATCCCTATAATCTTAACATGGTGCAAGCCTATAATCCTCATCCGATCCCTTATAATCCTAGGCCTCGTATCATCGACGACAATGGTGTTGAGTATTACAGTGAAGATAGTGATCACGAGGTTGTTCCGCCTTACAACTTCACCATGGCAGAGTGTTTGGGTAGTTTGTATAAGGATATTTGTTGTATTGGTGATCACAATTATCGTCGTAATAATGCTGCCTCAAAGAAAAAGAAGAAGACCAAGACTAAGAAGGGAGAACAGAAGAATTAACACATTAAACAGCTTGCTTCGAAGTTAATGGAGTACGTTTATGTTAAAGTGTATGGTCTATTAGATGAAGTATAATCTTCTTGTATGTCGTTTTTTGCATTATTTAATTTGATGCTTTATTAATTAATTAAATAATTAGTTAGAATTCAGTTAATGGTAATCTTTGGACTCTTAGTGTGAGCCAATGAGCTATAATGAGCACCACTTTTTGTAATGTACTACATGGAATGTATGAGATTAATGGAAAAGTTTACGGAGTTTATTTAGTTTAATTAATTTTCACATTTTGTATACTTCTTCAAAGTTGTCATTATCAGCTAATCAAGTACAAGGCTTTGATGAATACACATACTGTTAACGGTAGTATTCTATTAGATGAAGTATAATCTTCTTTGAGTGGGAGAGGGAAATCGGAGTGGTTGCGTTGAGGGAGAAGCGTCTCAAAGGCGGTAGGCTGGCAAGGGTCGAGGGAGGTGGTTGGCTGGGCAGTGTAAGTGGAGGTTAGGGTGGTCCGTTAGGAGGGGTTGTAGTTTTGGTTTTCCCCAAATTATTTAATTTTTAAAAAAAAATTTAATTAATATTTTAGACCAATCAGGGCTTAATACGTGTCAAATAACTTGTTATAATAGGTTGTTGACTTTTGTTGACAGATCATGACGTGATAGAAGTAAATGTCCACCGAAGTTGAGATTATCAATATATATATTATTATCTATATTATATTTTGTGAAAAACTACCTTTTAAACTTTGAATTCTGCGAGAAACCACTCTAAAAACAAAATGTTGTAATTAATTACCTTATAAAGTATAAAATGTTGTAATTAACTACCTTATAAAGTATAAAATGGTGTAATTGACTACTTCCCACTAGAATAACACATTTATTTTTTATTTTACGGTGTTGACCATGTCATGTGAGGGTCACATGACCCTTTAATGACTTAATTTCCCCCTTTTTCTCCCAAATTTTCCCGCTTTATACCAACTATTTTCCTTAACAATACGATTATTCATATTTTATATTATTTATTTGCAACCCCTTTGATAATTATATGGGCTGAATTGGTGTAAAGCGGGAAAATTTGGGAAAAAGAGGGGAATTAAGTCATTAAAGGGTCACGTGACCCACACGTGACATGGTCAACATCGGGAAATAAAATTCAAATGTGTCATTCCGGTAGAAGGTAGTCAATTACAACGTTTTATATTTTATAAGGTAGTTAATTACAACATTTTGTTTTTAGGGTAGTTTTTCGCAAAATCTAGAGTTTAAAGGGTAGTTTTTCACAAAAAATCCTTTTATTTATACTAAAGGCGAAACCAGAAATGACACTTGTCATAACCTGGTTAAAAAAATTCCCTCCAAAAGGTTTTTTTTTTTTTTTTTTTTTTTTTTGCCAAAGCTTTTTAGAGAAGTATTTAATTTAATACTTACTTTACAATAATATTTCTTTTCTATTTGGCAAGTATATTCATTTTTACACATTCAACAAAGATTTATATATTTATTTATTTTATGACGGGAACAAAGTCATGTAATACAATAATATAATATTATTATCTATAACTTTGCAATGTAATCCATAGTTATTTTTATTAGTCGTGCATGCATTTCTTCCTCTGTTTTCTTTAAAGATTCAAAAAAATTGTAATTACAGAACTTTCATCCTATTTTGCAATTTAATATTATTTTTTATAGTAAAATAATTGTATTAAACTAATAATAAATATTGAAATTACCGTGCATGGCACAGGATCTAACCTAATTAGAAAATAGTCAATAGTTGGGATTAATATAAGTAAATAAATGGCCTAAAGTTGAGATTAATATTACCAATTTTTTCTTAGTAACACAGCAAACTAACAAATACTCGTAGCATCATATGATCGTCCTGTTGAAGAGTGATAGTAACCTAAAAAAGATGACATTCTTTTGTGTGTAATATCAACACATGTGGCTCTAGTTATTACATATCGTCTCACTTATGTAGGTATGAAATTATTGATAGTTCGATTTAAAAATTGGCTTTAATATAATAAATGATACACAAACTGATCTTCTCTGTAATATCTATTAATGACACGATATGAAAAATGGCACATGAATACCCACTACAACAAAAGGGGCTTAGGCAACGCAAAATTAGCAACAGTTTTCTAAGCATTGCATATAGCGTCTATGGTTGCAGTTTTCAAGCCTTTAATTTTCGCCTTTGCAAACTGCTGCTACACATTAAGGCAACGGTTCTATCAAAACTTTATACTTCGTATTGGAAACTATAGTGCAACAAATTACAGCCTATAAGATTTTAATAAACGCGCCAAGGACAAATTTATTTCCCTCTTGTGAAATTCCCCCAATTTCAATCCCACCAAAACCCTAAGCAGTAAGCCACCCATTTTTTTCTCACTCAATTTCTCCGTCAAGAAAATTTTTGTTCCACTGGTGAAATTTTCACCGTAATTTTGATATGTACTTATCTGTTCCTTCTCTTCAAAATTTTCACTCCGAATTAGGGTTCTTACGTTTTCTCACTATCCCCAATTGCTGCTTGAATTTAATAATCAGGGTTGCAAACATCCCATTCACGAGCATCTACTAGCTACAAATAAGTATGAATTCTCAATCACCAACATCTATATAGCAGATGATTAGGGGAATTATGTAATTAAGTTGTAAAGCTACCAGCATATCTTTAAAAATGCTTACATACAGCTCATAGGCAGGTTTAATAACAATCCATAGCACATTACTCTAATACTTCCGAAATCAATGCTTTGAACCAAGCACATTCAGCAACAGTTGATGGTGTAACACCAAATATATACATCCTACTACAGTTAGAATATAATTTCGCAAACATTTACCCAGATTTTAGGATTTACCAGATCAGGCAGAGCATGCAACATGTTAAAAGATCAGACAGGTCCAAGAAAGTCTCCCTCCAATCCAACCACAGCCTGAAATTCCCTCTCAGTCTCCACCCACTTAGTCCCGATGACACAAAAGCGCACCACCACATCTTTCTCGATCTTCGACTGCTTCTCACTTATGAACATAGGATTTTCACCGGGAACATGTTGATAGCCAGGCATCTTCTGAGCAGAGAGAAATATGGTCTCAATGGGTCCAGATCTCAAGAACACTCCATGCCTCAAGACCTTGTGGACAGTTCCTTCCAAAACTTCTCCACGGAAAATCTTGAAAGTGAGACAGCTGAAGGTAACAGGAAACAGAACATCCCCAGATTGCTGCCTGACTCTTCCCTCTCCTATGTTGTCCAGAGTTGTGACTGCAAGCAGATAGCCAAGCTCCTTTGTTGCCTTCTTGGCTGCAAAATCTTCCATCAACCTAAGTATGACTGACTTCTGCAGCATCAATCCTTTGACATCCATATGCTCACAAGGGATGATCACATTCCAAGGCAGTTGTACTTTGATGAACATTGTTTCTAGATACAAAGAGATGAACAAGTTACAACAGAAACCAAAGTTGCCTGGTCAAACTTATACCCTCAATCAGCAGCAATTGTGTATTAACTTTCTACTCATATAAGAAAATGGAATTACATACTCTGTAGTATATATGCCTCAATTAAGGTAAACTTATAGCAAATATAAAACTACCCATCATCACCACTTACCATCAACTTGTACATATTTTCAAGCTACCACTCCGATACCATTAAAGGGAAACCGGATTTTATGAATGCAAGCTTGACAAGGAAATGAAAACCTCAAAAAAATCTGACTATAAATCAGTACACGAGCAGGGGAAAAAAAAAAAAAAAAAAAAGAACTTAAGTTCCTTGCATAAGAAATTATACAGTATTTCATACTTCGTAACCCCATATACTCGCTTCCTTCCTTCACTACCCATACATTCATAATTAACTTCTTTTTGACACTCTTCCTTCCTAAAGTCACCTAAAATTTAAGATAGAAAAAATGTTATCGATAGAGCTATAGGCTAGGGCCTGTCTGGAAGTAAGATAGTTGTAGAGACTAATTACCTGAAAATACAGCCCAAAAAAGTGTATTCTTCCTATTACTTAGCAACATTTACAGCGGAACATAATGAGAGCCCAAAGTTATGTTATTCAAGGAAAAATTTGTGGGAAATTAATGGTACTCCCCTAGACCCCTACTACTCCATACCTTATAAAATTGGTTTTACGAAAGACTATCTTATAAAAAAAAATGTTGTAAATTACTTATAAATCATAAAATGTTGTAACAAGGTACATTTTCCCAATAACGGAGTTTAACTATTTCCTGGCATTAAATTTTCAATTTCTATTTTTTTTCTTCCCCTTTTTTCTTTCTTTTTCTTTCCATTTTCATCCAAAACAAGAAGTTGATGATTACTACGGAGTATTTGCTATCACAAATCACAATAGAGGCACCAAGTCGCACCTTCTTCTCACTCTTCCCCTTTAAATGATGGCAAATTCCTCTCCTTAGTCCCTCTAAAACAATCCCTTACCTTCTTCCCCTCTTCTCTTAGCTTAATACATGATAAAAACAAAAACAAAACAAAACCTTTTGAAGCCTCATCTATGGCAAACACCAACACCAATCCCGGAAGAAGAGACAATCCTTATCTCACGCAAAATTCTCAAAAAAATCAAACCCTGAAAAAGATTCAATTCGTATTCACTTGAATCAATTCATTATAAATGAGCAATATTTTCAAACGGGTTTTTGCAAAACAATTAGTTTGAAACCCACGCCCAATCCCGGGGTGAAGTATTTGGACAATTTTTTTAATTGTTTGGTTTCTTCAACAAGAAATGAGAGAAAATTCAGGCCAAAAGACAAACCACCTTTAAAAGAATAACCAGCATTCAAATTCTTTCAAAAGGGTTCAACAAAACACATTCCTTAACAATGGTTGAGCTCAAATTATAACAATAACAATCACACTTTACAGAACTCGAGAAACATTATTGAAATAGCATTTAAAAAAAAAAAAAAATTAGCAACAAAATTTGACTCAATTACCAAACAAATTACATAATTTTAGGGATATGTGACTCAATTATAAAATTTCTAGAAACATAATCGCTTCATAATGTTAGTATTTAGAGGCAATAGTTGAGATTTTCGAACCCTACACTTACTGTACTGAAAATTGAATAAAATAAGATGAAAGATGAACCCTAGATTGTGAAATTGAAATTAAGATTACTAAAAGAAACAACAGCTTACCTAGTGGAGAACGTCAAGTGCGATGTTGAGTGCGCTTCAATGGAGAAGGAGGAGAGAGAGGGGGAGCAAGAGGGCGGAGAGAGGGAGGGGGAGAGTTGAGCAGTGGAAGTGCATAAAAAAAATCATTTTCCCTTCCATTATATTTTCCCCTTTTTTGTATTATTATCATTTTTTTTTACAAGAATATTACTCCCTCCATTTTAAAATACTTGCTCCATTTCTTTTGGACACGCATGTTGATGCTATTTTTTGTATCATTAATATCTTTAATTGTTAATAAGTATAAATTCTAACAATTGAAAATTAATAATCTATTCATTGAGATGATTCCAACAAATACTCACAAGACTATATTTTGTCTTATGTATTCCGTATAAATCACAAAAATTAGTCAAAGTATTTAAAAATGGAGGGAGTATCATTTTTAAATTAAAGAGAGCTCTTTCCCAAAATAATGTTGAGAAAAACTCCAATTTCTTAACTACAACTTCTTTTTCTTTTATTCTCAAAATACTGTCCACGTAAGCAAGTTAGAAAAAACCGATTTTTTTTTTACCGGTTCAGGGATAAACCGCTACTTGAAGTGGCGGTTTTCAAAACTAGAAACTACCTCGTTACTTATTATGTACAACAAAAACATCGACACGGATTCCTAGACAAAATTTGTATGTGAGTGATAAATGGAGATAAAGACATAAAAAACATGTGATGAGGAGAGAGATAGAGAAAAATGACAACCAATAAAAGGAAAGAAAAACATTAGTTGCAAATAAAGTGTAGCATCTATTTTTAGTAAATGTTGCACATAATATAAAACGAAGGTAGTAATTATAAGAAATTGAGTCCCCTCATTATTGCCTTATTAATTAAATCTCTTATAAAGAATTGAGTCCCCTCATTATTGCCTTGATTAAACATCCCTTCATTTCATCATTTCTGCTGATTGTTTTAAAAATATAGGTGTTTGAATTGATATTAAGAAAGTGCAACAGCAATACAAAATCTTTGTTCTTGAAATTTTTTAAATGTTTGTTATCCAAAAAAATAATTCTTTTAGTAATTTTTTTAATGTTCTTCTCTCTAGTTTGTAGCTTATTTGTCTTGCATTTCTAGCAGAAGCACACATCGCAATTTTAGTGAAGGCTTGTAGAGCCCTAAAATTTAAAAAATAATTAAAATAAAATAAAGATTATCGATATGCCTAGTGTATATTGCAACACAAGGTCATTAAGGAGAGTTTCTAAGACAGTCAAACACCCTTTTATGAGATTTCTAATATGCCCAAACTATAAGCAAGTGAATGGGTGTGCGTGGCTATATTAAGTGGGAGGTGGGTTGACAATCCATGTGATTCGGAGTTAGTTTATGTGATGGTAATGATTTTCCTTATCCTTACCTTATAAAAAGTAGAAAATAACTCTTAGGAATAGTATACTACCAACTATACCCTAAAAAATATGTACAAAATTGTGTACAAAAATGTATATTTACTTTTTTACCCTAATTAATATGTTTACTCTCATTAATATATTTAATTGGGTTTTTTTTCCATTAAACATATCATCAATTAATACAAAGTTTTTTTAAACAAAAACTTGTAATGTCTTCTTTTAAAATAAAAAATTATAATGTTTTGTACTATGTCATTATTGTTATTTAAAAAGAAAAAAAAAATCGTATGTACGAAGACTTTGTTTATTACCACGAGATGATTTATTTTTACTCCTTCGTGGTTGCTCTTCTTATTTACAATTTTGTTGTCCTTTAATTATTACAAATATTGTTAAGGTTTATTAGCTTTTTAATTGTACATTATTTGATGGCACGCACATAAACAACGTGAAATTTAAATGACATTCATATTAAATAATGATATTTAAGTAGATGTTGTCAAGAGTTATAATTAACTCTAAAATCCTAAAATCGAAGGAAATCGATGATAGAAAAAAAAAATGTATTAAATATGGAGAGAATTTAAGAGGAAAAATATAACTAAGGGCCTGTTCCGATTGACTGAACTCAGTTGAACTGAACTGAACTGAACTGAACTGAGCTGAACTGAACTGAGCTGAACTGAACTGAACTGAACTGAACTTATTAATTAGTGATTTTTAACTACGGATTAGTGATCTTTGATTATTTATTACTATACATATGTGTATATACAAATGTACATATTATTAATAATAATAATAATAATATTGTTATTATTAATTATTGATGATTATTATTATTATTTATTGATTATTATTATTAGTATTATTATTATTATTAATGTTATTATTATTATTATTATTATTTATTGATGATTATTATTATTATTTATTGATTATTATCATTAGTATTATTATTTCAATTATTATTGTTATTATTATTATTATTATTATTATTATTATTATTTATTGATTATTATTATTATTATTATTATTTATTACTTATTGATTATTATTATTATTATTATTATTGTTGGTGTTGTTGTTGTTGTTGTTGTTGTCGTTGTTGTTGTTGTTGTTGTTGTTGTTGTTGTTGTTGTTGTTGTTGTTGTTGTTGTTGTTAATATTATTATTATTATTATTATTATTATTATTATTATTATTGTTGTTGTTGTTGTTGTTGTTGTTGTTGTTGTTGTTGTTGTTGTTGTTGTTGTTGTTGTTAATATTATTATTATTATTGTTAATATTATTGTCGTTGTAATAAGAGCTTAAAAGAATGAAATTTGGCTTTATATCATTAGCAAGATCATTAGACGTAAATTAAGAGCTGAACTGAACTTAACTGAACTGAACTGAACCGAAGAGAACAGGCCCTAAGTGGTTATTGCTTTAGTATTAGATATATATATAGATATTAGAAGGTCGTAGAACATTGAACTTACATTATTAAGTTTACAACGAACATTTCACATATTATTACTCCGTATGACCAGGCTCACAAAAAATTCGTTTGAAGAAAAATACGTTAAGTATTATTGAATCATGCAAATCAATTAAGAGTTCTAAACTAGCTTAAGATATGAAGGGATGCAAATCAATTAAATATTATTTAATAATAATTTTGAAATAACAATGTCAAATTTTTGAGAGTTTTAAAAAATAATTATCATTTAAGATTTTGGTGGCTTTTTTATATTTCTACAAAACCACTATATAGGCACATAAACCAAATAGTAAGTATTAAAAACTACCAGATCTACCACCCAAACCAAAGGTGTAACTACGCGGTAATACAACTTCTATGCAAGAGCTGGTCTGATGCGCGCGTAGGATACTCTAGTAAAGAGAAATGTGGATCGGAGTTGGAAGGTCGAGGATGTAATGTAGATGATGAAGAAAATAAACAATCAAAGTATTGTAATTCTATGCCTTAGGGCCTGTTCTCATTGACTGAACTCAGCTGAATTGAACTGAGCTGAGCTGAACTAAACTGAACTGAATTGAGCTGAACTGAACTGAACTGAGCTGAATTGAGCTGAACTAAACTGAACTAAACTGAACTGAACTGAAATGAATATTTTATAAGAAAAGGAAATTAGGAGTTGAACTGAACTAAACTGAAATGAATATTTTATACGAGAAGGAAATTAGGAGCTGAACAGAACTGAACTGGACTGAACTAAACTGAACTGAATTTCAACGTAAGAGAACAAGCCCTTATTTTTGTTCCAAAAACAGGAAGGGACTTTTTTTTTTTTTTTTTTTTATTGGTCTTAAATTAAAATATTTACCAAAAAAAAATAACAAAAAAAACAAAAAACCAAACAAACTCCCTTATTGTTTAACCAAGGGGACTCAATTCTTTAACCAAAGGGGATCAATTCTTTCCCTTATTTTATTAAAACCCACCGAAAACCCAAACCCATTCTAGCCCATCAGTCCCTTTACCCTCTATGAAATAAATAGAGTCCCCTCTCCCCACATTTTGCAAGAATTGAGTCTCGTGTTTTATACTTAACTCATTATATATTAGCTTAACTTAGCTTAGTTCTCTTCCAATCGTAGGTTGATCTTATTCGGAAAATGAAGGTGTGCTCAATAAGCCAATAAGGTTGGATGGATACAATGTGAAATTTGAACTTTGAAGTTGCAAGTATATATAATCTAGATATTAATAGTTAAAAGTTGTCAAATTTAAGGTGTTTTTACTAGACAAGATTTTAATAGACATGATTATTGGATAAGGTCGATATAGTGCCAATTAGATATCTCAATAGCTTTTAAAATAATGTAATTATGATGATAAAGAGAAGTGCTTGTATACATTCATATTCACTTGTACTCACTTTTATCTCTCATAAATGTAAATAGGCCCTTAATCATAGTACATCAAAATTTCTCATATGAAATATCGTTAGTCGTGAAATTATCACATTCAATCCAACTACATAATATTTATATAATATCTACATCGATTTAGAGAAACTAATAAATAACTATGGATCGAGTATATGCATACCCTTGTTATACCTTTGTTATATATGACTATAATCAAACGTGCAAGGCTCTCGTATTGGCTTTCTTGGTTATAGTGCTAATCATATTGTATGTTTAATTGGCTAGAGATTTGGTGTTGATAACGTGTTACAGAGTATAAAATAAGAAGAATATGAGAGACGGAGAAGGAATTAATCTGTGTATTTTTTATTCTATATGATAAGGTATATACATACAATATAATTAGGGTTTGGTTGGATAAGAATATAAACCCTAAATCTAGATTGTTCCGAAATGATACAATGAAGGATAATGGATATCCATAAATATTCCATAACACTTGTTTTTTTAGTTACCTTCCTGTTTTTTTTAGGAGCTTAGGTAAAATATACCAAAAATATAAATTTTGCTAAAATCTAGAATTTAGGTAGCCGTTATAAGAGTCGGTGACTCGGTCATTTAGAATAGAATTCGTGATGATCAAGTATATGTGATTAGGTCGGTTTCTAAAAGCAATGTTAGGTCGGTTTCTGAGTAAGAATATTGGGTTGTTAAACAACGCTCCCATTTTATAAGACATCGCTCGCATTTTATTACAAACTTCCGTATTTACCCCTCATAAATAAATACTCACGACAACAATAAAAATATTAATACTAATTACTCAATTAATCATAAAATTAATAAAAATCATAATAAAAAATTATTATATAAACACAAAGACTACAATAATAAGTTTGATTAATTAATCAATTAAAAAACAAACAAACAAACAAACAAACAAAACTTCCGCCAAAAAAATTAGGATCCGCCTAGGAAGATCCAAAAATTTAAGGCAGATCTACTTAAAATTTCCGGATCCACCTAGGAAGATCTGGAAATTTTAGGTGGATAGGCAGATGTTTATTTCAAAATTTTATTTTAAAAAGTACGACGACTTATATGATCCTCCGATGAAGACTTCGGTGTCCGAACGTTGTCGTCGTCAATTGTCTTAAACCCGTCGCTAATGCTTAATAATTTTTTTTTATAAAAAACTCGGATTTTTGGTGGGGATCAGATGTGGTGTTGTCGGGAATTTTTTTTACCACGGGGTAGTAAGTTGAGGGCTCGGGAATGCTATTATACCATTATATACTACAACTTACACAAAGGGCAATATCGTCCTTCCATGTCAAAAAGTGACAATTGTATAGTACACCTGGGTGTACCATGCTCATGGTACACCTAGTGTTAAATGATGCGTTTTAAACATTTCATTTGCAAGCTGTCAGTTTGTTATTTAAAAAAAAAAAATAATAATAATAATAATAATAATAATCTCTTCCACAATTCATGGGATTCAACGTGATATTCTCCATTTTTACATAACTTTCAAAATAAAATTTCATCATATTTCAATTTCGAATTAAGAGAGAATTAAGTTTATAAAGAATTTTGTAGAGAGAAAAATACAGAGCAAATTATGATAACATTGTAATCGATGGATCGGAGAAGGTAATTTGATTTTATTTGTTGGGATTTTAATTTCAGGATTTTGCTTATTAGGTTGATTATATTTTGTTATTATTTTGCCCGATTATTGTAAAAAATCGTTGTATTTTTTTTCAATTTTGATGTTTATGAATTTGAGATCCATATGACAAAGGTTGAAGATAATATTCTTTATTTTGTCAAAGGTTGAAGATGATGTTCTTTATATTTTGTCAAATGTTGAAAATGGTGTTCTTTATAAATTGTGATTATGTTCGTCATTATAGTTATTGAACAATTATATGAATGTTCTTTATTTTTACCCTTTATGTTCTTTGCTTCGATATTCTTTGATTTATTATGTATTTTTAAAAAATATATCATTTACTAATTATATATATATATATATATATACTTCCTCCGTTTTTATTTTATTGCACCATTAGGACTTTTACACTATTCACTTAATCTTCTTTGACCATCATTTGTGATTTATCCATTCGGAAAAATATAGTTATGCGGGATCTAGTTAGATTCGTCTCAAAATCTTCTTTTCAAATATCAATTTTTTTTATAATTTTTACAAAAGTATAATTGAAGATATTCATAGCTAAAAAAATGCATTGGCAAACGTGAAATCCCTCATGGTGCAATAAAAAAAGAACGGAGGAAGTGTATATATATATATATATATATATATATATATATATATATATATATATATATATTTATATGCCACGATCCAAAGACAAAATTCAAAGAACATTTCACAATAAGCAATGAACATTATGTGACGATAAAAGTATATTGCAATTACAATCAAAAAACATGGAAAATTAAAATAAACTATCAAAAAATCTCATAAAAATCATTATATGATATAATTATGGACATAAGGATAAAGATATAGTTTTAAAAAATAATTGTACATTACAAAGAACTATAAAGTACATCCTGTTTTCTAATAGAGAACATTATTAAATCACATATAGAACATCACAAAAAATTTATGTATACCAACCCTAAAATGAATATTGTAACTATATATATTAAAGGTGAAAAAATATGAACGAAATAAAAAAAAAATTAAAAAAAAATTGAACACTAAAATTTTGAAAATGAAATTTTATAAATTTAAATTTTGAAATTTAAAAACGAAATCTTAAGTTATTTTTGGGTGAAATAATTTTAGAGAATAAAAACTATTTTTTTTTATATAAAGAACATTATATTGTCATATAAAGAGCCTCATAAAAAGTACACAAAACAATCATTAAAATAAATATTATAATTAAATTTTAAAAAAAAAATTGGTGAAAAAATATGAAAAATATACATATATATTTTTTTTAAAAGAAAGGGAACTAATTATAATATTTTGGATAATACATTTTGAAAATGAAATTAAAATTTTAAAATTTAAAATTCGAAATTCAGGTGCATTGGTCAGAAAGGGAGCGATGCCCTGAGTAGCTCTTTCTATTGTTAGTTTATTTGATGATGTTAATTTAGTGCGTGTGTTAGGGAACGGGGAGAGACAATGAGGAGATAAAAGCTCACACATAAGCCCAAATAAGATTCCATCCAAAAACAATATGGCTATCGAAAGAATAGCTTTACTAAGGTTATAAACTAGTGGTTCTTTGTTAGATATTTCCATATGGGACAACAACTTTCACACTTGCAAGTTGCAACCTAAGACTAGTGGTTCTTTGTTTAATAATTTAAGGTTGGATACAACTCTCACGTTAAAATCAAACTTGACAAATTGACAATGTTATGTAACTTATGTTATATTTATTGAGAGCAGTTTAAAATTTTGTCTCATCTTATAAATAGTGTCTACATATTAAAAGGAAATAACGAAAAGAAATTCTGATGGAGGGGGTAAGTGAATTGGCACAAATTGCTTTTACAACTTACTATCGAATAAGAAAAGTATACTTGCAAACATCAAATATAATCAAAATGTTCTAATAAAAAAAAAATTAATGAATAAATTTTTTTTGCTTAACTGAAGTTATTTTACTAAATTGAAATTATTAATTATATTGCTTAAATTTATTTTTAGTAAGCTGAATTGAATGTATAAGAGTATTATAAATATGTATTTGACCTTCCATATTGAAACTAATATACTACCTCCGTTTCTTTTTAGTTAACACTTATTTCTTTTTAGGAAGTTTTATTTTAGTTGACACGTTTCCTTTTAGGGTAAATTTTTCACCTTACATTTACAAGTTACCCCACTTGCTTTTTCATTCTCCCTCACTCTCTCTCCGCTCCTTAATATATGTGCCTAAATCAAACGCGTCAACTAAATAGAAATGGAGAAATTATAAACCATCAACCCATTAGATATGATCCGTTACATCCGTATATATATGTAAGTTACCCCTCTTCTTTCTCTTTATTTCCTCTTCATATACTTTAAACCTATTAGGTTTGTCAAATGAATTTAAAGAGTAAAATAAGACCGATTGTGCAAGAGGACAGAGAGAAAGCTAGAGCAGAATATCAGCAGAGGGAATGTTCAGTCATTTCTCATTGATTAGCAGAAGAGCAGTGCAGTGTGCTCATGTATAGCAAAACAAAAGGGAAGAATTTCCTTACACTGAAAACAAAATAACAGCTATAAGGAACCTTCATAGCAATTACATGACAGCACAAAAGGACACAAATATCTAGCTAATCATTGCTGTAAAATAACGGTTTTGATACTTTAGAGAAAATGACTGTAATATCCTTTATTACCCCCCTTCAAGCTGTGTGCTGGTAGAGGAGAAAGCACCCACCTTGCGCAATATTGCTTGATGTTGCTTGATGGACAGACCTTTGGTGAGAATGTCAGCTAGCTGATTCTGTGAAGACACATGTTGTGTGATTAAATCCCCTGAGTTCACTATATCCTTCACATAATGACAATCGATTTCAACATGCTTAGTTCTTTCATGCAGTACTGGGTTAGCAGCTATAGCCAGTGCTGCTTGATTATCACAGTGCAAAATCACAGGCCCTAGGTACTTGATGCCCATATCCTTAAGCAAAGACTTTATCCAAGTCACTTCACATGCTGTAAGAGCCATAGCTCTGTATTCAGCTTCAGCAGAAGACTTGGCTACCAGAGATTATTTCTTTGCTTTTCAAGATAAAGGAGATTTTCCCAACAAAACACAGTAACTTGTTGTAGATCTTCTAGTGGTTGGACAGATGGCCCAATCACTATCACAGTATGCAGCCAATTCTGCTGCAGAAGAGCTTGCAAGCAACACACCTTGAGAGACAGTACCAGCTAGATAACTCAGCAACCTTTTTACAGCTTGCATATGAGTTGAAGTAGGTGAATGCATAAATTGACTAAGCAACTGAACTGTAAAGGATATATCAGGCCTGGTAATTGTTAAGTAGATCAGTTTCCCTAACAATTGTTGATATCTAGCAGGATCTGGGAGAGGTGTCCCTTTATCAGCAGAGAGCTTTAAATGAGAATCAATAGGAAGCTTCAAAGGTTTCACATTCAGCAACCCCTCTTCTCTCAGCAAGTCAGTTGTGTACTTCTTTTGGGAGATAAAAATGCCCTGATCAGTATGATCAATTTCAAGGCCTAGAAAGTACCTTAGAGACCCCAGATCTTTCATATGAAAATGAGAAGCCAACATTTTCTTGATTCTAGCAATTTCTCCCTTGTTGTTGCCTGTAATCAGCAAGTCATCAACATACACCAACACTATAGTGACAGAATTGCCCTACATCCTGGTGAACAAGCTGTAATCAGCTTTTGACTGAGTGTATCCAAAAGATACCAAAGAGGTGGACAGATTTTTGAACCATTGTCTAGGTGCCTTTTTGAGCCCATACAATGATTTTGTTAACTTGCACACAAGAGTTGAATTCTTGCTTGGATTATTTCCCTGAGAGTCAACTAAGATTCTGCTGCTTATACCAGAATATCCTACAGGCATGGACATATATACATCCTCTTCAAGGTCACCATGCAAGAATGCATTTGTGACATCCATCTGAGTTGTGAACCATCCATTCATAGTTGCAACTGCCAACAAGGCTCTAACAGTTGTCATTTTTGCCATTGGGGCAAAAGTTTCACCATAATCTAGGCCATATTGTTGTCTGCAGCCAAGTATCACTACCCTTGCCTTGTGTTTCTCTATCTCACCATTAGATTTATACTTAGTTTTATAAATCCATTTGCAACCAATCACTCTCTTTCCCTTTGGCAGAGTTGTTACTATCCAGGTCCCATTTTTTCACATTGATCTATTTCATAATTCATTGCATCAACCCAGTGTTGTTGGGTAACAACATCTCTATACAGAACTGGATCACTAGTTTCCTCAAGAGTTGACATAAAACAGTAAAACTCAGGCTTTACAATTGTATCAGCCATATTTGCTATTGGTTGTCTTGACCTTTTTCCCAACTGAACATAGTCTTTCATCCAGACTGGCTCTTTTCTTGGTCTTCCACTCTGTCTCATTTGAGGCTCTTGACTAATTTCTTCAGAATTTTCTGTAGTTTCTGTATTCTCAAAGTGTTGCTAACAGCTTGTGATTTGTTCTTCCTCAGCATCAGTTTCATCATTGTCACACATATCAGTTTGTTCATCAACAAACAAATTTCTGAATTTTTCAGTCTGATTTAGAACACCAGGGACAGGCTTCATATATTTGTCAAGAGAATCTTTATGGAAAGGAAATATTGTTTTTTCAAATTTCACATCCCTGGAAACAAATATTTTCTTTGTTTCCAGTTCCATCAATTTATATCCTTTCTGTGCAGCAGGATATCCCAGGAACAAACAAGCTACCCCTCTAGGTTTGAACTTGTCTGCTACAATGCTTGGATTTGCTACAAATGCCAAGCAACCAAATACTCTGAGATGTGAATAGTTAGGGCACTTTTTGAACAACATCTCATATGGAGTTTTGTTGTTTAAGACAGAAGAAGGAAGCCTGTTTATAAGATGAACAGCTGTCATAGCACAGTCACCCCAATATTCCAAGGACAACCCTGCTTGAAACCTCAAGGCCCTAGCAATTTCAAGAATGTGTCTGTGTTTTCTCTCCACTCTAGCATTCTGCTGTGGTCTATCAACACAAGAGGTTTGGTGAATAATTCCCAACTTGTCAAAGAAAGCCTGACAGTGTTGATCATGAAACTCAAGAGCATTATCAGATCTCAGAAACTTGATTTTGCAGTTAAAATGATTTTGGACATAATTCTGAAAAATCTAAAGCTTAGACAAAGACTCAGATTTTTGTTGCAGCAAATAAATCCATGTGGTTCTAGAGTAATCATCCACAATAGTGAGAAAATATCTATATTTTCCTCTGGTGCACACTCTGTATGGACCCCAAATGTCCATGTGAATCAGTTCAAAAGGAACAGAAGCATGAGATTCACTTAATTCATATGGCAATTTTGTAAACTTAGCCATGGGACAAGTTACACAAACTTGAGTATTATCCTTGATTGTCTTTTTCACACACTCAATATGCTTGAGCTTTCCCAGGGAAGCATGCCCTAGTCTATTGTGCCATATAGAAAATGGTACTAATTTTGTCTTAGATGTTGTAGACATACTTGTGTGATGTGAGTGTTTCTCTAATTCAGAATCACCTGACAGTAGATTCATATCACTTTCAACAAGGTAATAGAGACCATTTCTGGCCTTCCCTATTCCTTTAATTTTCTTTGTGATCATATCCCTGATTACACAATGTGACTTGTGAAATGTCACTTCACATTGAGAATCCTTCAGCAACTTCTGAACTGACAGAAGATTGTGTTTAAAATTTGGCACAATTAGAACATCTTTCATAAACAAAGAATTGGGAAGCTCAACTGTTCCCAGGTGAGTTACTCTTGCTGTATCACTTGTAGGCAAATTGATCTTAAGACAGTCTTTGCATACTCTTGGATCAATTGCCATGTTCAAGTTTGCTGTCATATGATCTGAAGCTCCTGAGTCTATTATCCACTCATCTGTGGAAGACACAACAGCATTACAAGATACCATACCAGAGAAGCTATTACCCAATTCTTCATCAGTTTCACTGTCTTTAGATCCACTACCTCCTGGCAGAGCCTTAAGAAGCTGCCCAAACTGATGCTGGGTGAGAGTTACAGTTCCTGAATTGCTGTTTGAGGTTTGAACTGCAGCAACAATCTTTGGTGCAGCCCTGTTATTCCATTTCTGATCTTGAGATCTGGATCCAGGCTTCACATTTCCACTCTTGTGTTTGTGATGCCATTTTGGATACCCAACAACAGTCCAACACTTATACTGAGAATGACCTTTTCCACCACAAGCACTGCACTCAATCACTCTTTCACCACTATTCATATGATTAACTCTAGTATTTTCAGAATTGGTGTGCACTACAGCCCCACCACGACTGTACATGGCTGACAAAGTGAGTTCTGAACCAGTTCAGCACCTCTCTTTGACTCTCCTCTTGTTGCACCATAGAGCATGCTTATTCAACAGTTGGTAGAGGTGTCAACATGAGAAGTTGTGTTCTCATAGCACTAAAAATATCATCCAAGCCATTCAAAAACTGAAAAAGCCTATTTTCTTCTTGATATTTCGATATTGTGTTTAACAAATTTCTAATCTCAGCAGAAGTTTCAGTTACAGCAGGAAAAATATTCATTGAGTCTATTTCTTCCCACAAACTAGTCATACTGGTATAATAGACATTTATAGAATTGTTGTTTTGCCTTAACTTATAGAGATCTCTATTCAACTTATACTTCCTAGACCCATTTGACATAGAAAAACGTTTTTCAAGCTGCACCCAAGTTTCTCTAGCACTATTAACATACAAAACAGATTTTTAAATAGTGTCAAATAAGCAAGCATGGATCCAGGTGATTACCATTGAGTTACAGGTATCCCACTGATCTGCTATCACAGAGTCTTGAGCATAAGTAGATCTCAGAACAGTTCCCAAAACAAAACCAATCTTCTTCTTTGCTGTGAGTGATATCTCCATAGATCTTCTCCAAGATCTGTAGTCTGCTGCTCCAGTGAGTTTATCAACACTTATTGTGTATGACCCATCGTTTGGATGCAGATAGAGAGGGCTATTTGTATCAGCTGCCATAACAGGTTATAGAAAAAGGGAGGAAAAGAAGAGAAGAGAAGGGAGAAGAAATGAAAAATTTCAGCAGAGATACAGAGGATTCAAATGAGAATGCTATTCCAAGTCTGCTGTTCTTAGTCCCGATTTTACACAACCTAGCTCTGATACCATAAAGAGTAAAATAAGACCGATTGTGCAAGAGGAAAGAGAGAAAGCTAGAGCAGAATATTAGCAGAGGGAATGTTCAGTCATTTCTCATTGATTAGCTGAAGAGCAGTACAGTGTGCTTATGTACAGCAAAACAAAAGGGAAGAATTTCCTTACACTGAAAACAAAATAACAGCTATAAGGAACCTTCCTAGCAATTACATGAAAACACAAAAGGAAACAAATATCTAGCTAATCATTGCTGTAAAATAACGGTTTTGATACTCTAGAGAAAATGACTGTAATATCCTTTATTAGAATTCAATTGGTAGAAACAAAAAAGAGGCAGAAGGACCATTTAAATCTTATACTACCTTCGTTACATATTATTTGCAACGATTAAACATTTTTTCTCTCTACTTTATGTCAAATCGTTGCAAATAATAGGTAACGAAGGTAGTATTTTCATTTGTTTGGGTTATATATCAACCTATTAGGGTAAAGGTAAAAGAAAAAGACTTGATTCTAAAGAAGCAACATAACATCTGTGTTGAACAAAACGGATAGGAGTTAAACTGAACTGAACTGAATAGAGATGAAATGAATATTTTATGAGAGAATGAAACTAAGAACTGAACTTTTTTTTTTTTTTTTTTTGACAACAGAGGAAAAAGGGAGGCTACTCCCTTAACTTTTTATAACTAACAATTAAACAATGAAAATCAGGAATCAGGTCATTAATCTTCTTCTTTAGCATCATGTCTCCTTAGTCACTTTGCATCCATTTGAGAACACTTTGCTCTATAGTCTCACTGAAGTGTACTGAACTAAACTGGTAGAAATTAAGAACTGACTGAACTGAAATTAAGTTGAAGTGAACAGACCCATAGTATTTTAAACTAATAGTGTTGATTGTGGCAAGGATATCATCCACCGATGATGAATGAGACAAAGATGTTTAATTTGTATCAACGAATTAATCAAAATATCAAGATTAGCCTCTCTTTCGTCTCTTCTCTCTCTAAAACCCTAGCCTCCATTGTTGAATTTTGAAGGGGGATTTACCGGTGGAAAGCCTCAATCGTTGTTTCTTTTGTGCCTTTTCTCTTGCTTTAGGTTTATAATAATTCTTCCTGTTCTAGGAGGAATATTTCTCCCTCGAAAGACAGGGTTTTTCTTCCTCTTTAGGAGGATTTGGCTCCTTCGAAAGACCGGGTTTTTCATCTCTCTTTTGAGGGAGGATTTGCTTTTTTTATTTCATGGATTGCTATAGAGTTGTTTCATGGGTAAAATTTTATGCGGGATTGAAAGAGATTAATATTTCGACAACAATCGAACGAATCAGACAAACATTTTCTGCACGGCTACAACAGATCGATAGACCACCTCGCTGAAGAAGGTTGTAAATCACAGCGGTATGAAAGAGGATATGAAGAAAGTACAATTTGCAACAACGATCGTAGCTTTGCTTACAGAATGTTTTTATTTGATTCAATTGTTATGTATTTATTAGATCTAAATCTCTTTGTAGATTTCGTATGACTTATTTATGAATCAATTTTATTTCAAAAAAAAAAATCAAAATATCAAATCATACTTAAAAATCCTTATATGACTACATGAGACATGACTATATTTTTCAAGACATAAAAATCGCCAAAAAAATAAAATTTGTATTGTGTAAAGGGTGTATATATAGAGAAGCGTACTAGGACTGAATGTTGAATTATATACCCCCTCCATTGTTAAATACTTGCTCCACTTTCTTTTTTCGGCTGTTTTTAAATATTTGTCACATTTCCTATTCTGGAAAACTTTTACAATATTTAATACATTTCTCACACTTAGTGAATCTAACATAATACTCTCTCTCCTCATTTCTTCCACTACTTATGCTTTTTATAATTTTTTAAATTTTTTCAACTACCCCACCACCTCAATATTTTATTACTTTCTCTAATTCCTACTAAAACTCTATGCATGAAGAAATGGAGCAAATATTTATAATACGGAGGGAGTAATCAATACTATTCTGATCAAAATAGTTGTTGTAATTAAATACAGAGTAACAAATAACTTGAATAAAAGGGAAATAAATAACTTTTCCAAACAAAAGATATACTTGTATATATGCTTGAGAAGCTTTCAAAAAAAAAATATGCTTGAGAATTTAAGTATAAATACACAATAAATAAAACCCGTACACATTCTTCGACTTGTTTGTATTACATAGACTGTAAATTACCTACATTAATAAATTATATCACCTTTGGGACTACACTTGGTAAGGAGGACCTGTATTTGATCCCCCACAACAATTGGGAGGGGACTGAAACCTAACCACTCAGAACTGATCCTCGAATCCGGATCAACCCAAAGGGTGGAACATCCAAAAAAAAAAAAAAAAAAAAAAATATCACCTGAACTTACTCAAAAAAATGTAATGCAAAATCATGAAATATTTTAGTTAAACAATAATATAAGACAACATTATACATAAAAGGCCGGGAAACCTTAATCATACTCAAAAAACACAGGTCAGACATCCATTATACATTAAACTATTCAAGCCCATATAAATTTTATGAGTTGATAGGTAAGAGCAACACTATCAACTTATCAAGCTAAATCCCTGCGCTAGTTAGCCCAACCCGTTCGGATTTAGGTAAAAGTAACCCTACAAGAGATTGGACCTTCAACCTAAGGTTAAAAGGTATAATCTTTACTACCAGGGTCAAGCTTAGCTTAACAGTAATATGGTCATATAATAAGATGAACTGAACAAGGCAGTAGTAGAACTCCCTAGAAAGTTGTATTTCCTACAAAATTTAAGGTCACTTATATCTAAACACCATAGGAAAATTGAACTTTCAATGGAAACTAATACTTCCTATGTCCAGCCAAACAAATTTAGCAATTTCTTAGATGGAAGATTGATGCAGATACTATTCACACATCTAGTCTGCTCTTGGAGATCTACAGATACCAACCAGATTATCAACTAAAACACACATACAACAATTTTCTTCCGCCTGTGTTATTTTCCTGGACTTCAAGCTCTAATACGTGCAAGTTCTAGAAACTCTGCTGAACACATTAGTAATGTCTAACAGTCTAACACTAGCAGATACAACCAGACATTTCATAAACATAGATCACAGACCCTGCATTGTTTTAACACAAGAATTAAACATATATATACTACATTCCCTTATAGCCTCACTGTGACTGTGAGCTCTAATGACCTCCATGTTCCTTCTACCCATCAGCACATTGCAGAAAAAAACAAAACCGTGCAACATCTGAATATACAATTTACTGATCTCGAACTCCTCCCACATACCTTCCCCAATATAAACACAAACAAATAATGCTCAAGGTTGTAGCAGAAATCACAACAGGTCCATTCCGTCCATAGGCCCCAAAAATTCTATCAATTGTAACACTCCGGCATTAATGCAGAATTAAAAGCATCAAACACAAGCCTAAAGGGGCTACAACTATATCATGCATTCAGAAAATGTCACAAAAAGAGCAACTGAATAGGCTCTTAAAAGCATCTCTCTTTTGAAAAAAATGAAATAATTTTCATAATCATAGCAAATATGTCACCCACAATAACAAGTATCCTATATACAAGTATCAACTAAAAGTTATTGCCAATGCCAATGGAAGCATCAGATCAAAGCTCTTATTAAGAAAAAGAGCCAACATTCAGAAACAAAAAAAATGATAATTTGTCACACTGAACTGGATAACGTGAGCTAACAATGCATCCAAATAATTAAAAAAAATGCATCCACAGCATAGCAAAACTTAATATTATATGTTTAAAACATTAGGTAGAAATTAACCAAGAAAAGAATGAGAATTATTATCTTAATTCTACTCAAAAAATTCCAACCAGGAACAGCAGGAATGACTTATGACTAAAACATTGAATGATCACAAGGACCTTTACAAAAATCCATTGTATGAACAACAAAAGGTCAATCAGTATACTAAATGGGGAAATTCAACTATTCAAGACAAAAGGCACTTGAAACTAAGTGCCAGTGTCTAAAGCAGCAAAACACAGAGTATTCGAGAACGTGATTTACAGAGGAATGAACTTCAACCACTTAATCCAGTTTCTCCTTAGATATTGATGCTGATATTAGGACTAGACATGAAAAAACATTCACTCCACAAGCCCACATACAGCTATGTAACGCCCAAAAATTAGAACAGAGATACCCAACCAGGCTATTAGAATATGCTCAAAGCTAAAATCATAAAGTAATAAATTCCTTTTTATTCATGATAAGCACCAGAACACACAACATCAAATAATAATTTAAAGAACAGCACAAAATATATAATAAGACTGCCAAATCAAATATAAGTCAAACAGCCAACTAACTTTTATCTTCAATAAAAACATCAAATAGCAAGAAAAAGAATACCACTCCAACAGCAAATACTACAAACAATACCAACCAACTCCACAAACCTAAAATTAAGTCCAGATGGCACAACGCTGAACAAACTATCTATCCTAACTCAGTCACATTTGACTATCACCAAGATGACATATCAAAATCTTAAAAAGCCGCAGGTCAATTGAAGAGGCGACCAAAAAGTAACAGCAAATGAATTCATCAAGCCAGACTTCACATTGTCGGCATTCACGCAATCACGAAATCACCAGAAGCATAACAATCATCTGCGCCCAATAAGCTTTTCAAACACCTGAACCAAATATTCACTAATGTTTAATAAAACAATCAATAACATCCAAAGCAAACCAAACAATAAATTAGGCAAACCTAAAAGTTAGAAACAGAACGCAATATGGAAGCCAGATAATTAACATCTTTAATAAAGAGAATAAGAATGCAATAGCAGTTTAGCACATACTTGACGAATAAGTAGCATTTTTCAAATTACTATTGCATCATCTCCAATATAAGGTTCCAATATTTAATCAGTAGCACATTGGACCAGAAGATAATGATAGGCTAAGGTTGTGTTATTTTCACCTAATAACTCTATATAAACAATAATCCTTAATTGTAATGGTAAAATGAACATGGTAGCCATTTTCCCAAAAAAGGTTAACATAACAAAACCTATGTTAAAGAAATAGCTACAACAAAACAGTAAAGACTGATCTTGGACCAAATAAGACACAACAAATCAAGTTGCAAGGTTTGATATTAGTGGCGAGGTAGTCTAGAAAAAGTGTCATAACAGGCAACAGTAGATTTGTCAACCATGACTAGTTCTTAAACACAGATTGATAACCATCAAACAAGATTGAATCCAGCATATATATGAAATTCACCGCAGGGCAAAAAAACAAACAATCAAATTGATCTACCCACACAGCCCCATGGGAACTACAAACTTCAGAATATAAGCAATTAATCAACACATCTTGAATGCAAAGACAGGCCAATGAATGTGCAAAGAGAAAATTTTTAAACAATCACTGCAAAAGCCAAACAAAGCTAACAACCAATGAAACAAAGACTATCAAATTAACACCAGATATATTAAATGCATACCTCAACATACCAAAATCAAGGCAGGCACACACAAAACAGCAAAACTGCACAATGAAAACAATAATATGCCACAGTGTAAACATAAGAATGAAGTAAAAATGATGTGGAGTACTAAAAATATTCACAATTCCAAAAATCACAATTTCTACCAAACAATTGCATTAGCAAGAATATTGGCAAAAGTGCACACCCAACCAAAGTGGAAAAACAACACATCGAAAATCAACCAGGCCAATTTATTCAAACAGGCAAAGAAACACAGAGTGAAAGATTCATTAATCAACATAGGCCCAAATGCAAATCAAACATACTACAGCCAGAAACTACTGGCTTTGAGCTTTCAAGCACAACACAGTCATCCCCATACAAATAGTAAAGTCACAGCAAAACTGCGCGTTAACACAGAACAAACAATGAAGCACGCTCAAACAGTTTCACAAATCACAATCATCAATAACGCAGAGTATAAGCATTAGCACAACAACAAATGCACACATAGATAACTAATCAAACAAGACTGCCAAACATCCAATACACAAAACATACAATTTGATCTAACAAAAATTATCTACAACTGAACACTATCATAAACAGAACAGAAACCAAGAAACAACAAGTCAACAAAATATACCTTAGTAATAAGGCGGTGCATTAGGGTACCCTCCAGCACCAGCAGGTAGGCCTCTAGGAGCCGGAGACGTCCCTGTAGGTTGGTGCTGCTGACTTGGGTACCCACCATAATGACCACCATCCGAATACCCTCCACCACCAGCAGGTGGCATCCCACCAGAACTCGGTGGCATCCCATACATCGAACCCCCACGACCCGCCCCACCAACAGGCCCTCCCAAACCACTTCCTGCACCACCATATCCCCCGTAACCACCTGAATTCGGTCCACCATATTGTGAACCACCATACCCTCCACCTACCCCACCACCACCATACCCTCCACTACCACCATACCCACCAGGCCCCTGACTTCCCACAGAAGATGGATATCCAGAATTCATCTGATTAGGTCCCATCCCTCCCCCAGGCCCACCACTATATCCACCGCCGTAAGACGGATACCCACCCGGCCCTCCAGGACCGGAATACGGTCCAGGAACCGGCCCGCCAGGCTGCATTCCCATCCCATCACCCACAGGACCCTGCCCACCCTGTCCAGCCCCACCAAAACTCTTCCCTTTCTTCCCTTCACTAGCCAACTTACAAACCATCTGCCTCCCATCAATATTCTTCACAGGCTCCATCAACGACGCCTGCGCCGCCTCAGGCGTCTTATAAACAAACAAAGCAAACCCCTTCGACTTCCCGGTCTGCTTATCGAAACCCAACGGGCCTTCCTCAATCTCACCATAACTCGAAAAATGAGCCAACAACCTCTCCCCAGGCATATCATGAGGCACATTACCCACATAAATCTTCCTCAACGACGCATCAGGGGTGGGCCCAGTTGGGTTCCCATTGGGCCCGCCGGAAAGCCCAGCAGAGGCTAATTGGGCCACAGCAACCCGCCCATCAATCTTCTTACTGGGTTCTTTAAGGGCCAAAACGGCGCCGTCTATATGCTTGTAAGTAACGAAACCATACCCTTTACTCTTAGCAGTGTTCTTGTCGAGAATAACGACGGCTTCTTCGAGCTCGCCGTAAGCGGCGAAAACAGAGCGGAGACTCTCCGACGTCGTTTCCCAACCAAGACCGCGAATGAAGAGCTTACGTTGGGTGACGTCACGGTCAGCGATGACGCGGACGGCTTGGAGGACGTCGGGGTTGGAAACGGCGGCGGTTTGGAGGATATCACGGAGTTGGTCGGGAGAGAAGGATTCGATGATCTTGCGAACATCGTCGGGGGTTAGTTTTAAGGGTAGATCCGATTCTGAAAGACCATTTTCATCGAGTTTTCGTTTCTTGGTGGGATCCATTTGAGGAGATAGAGAGAGAATTTGAGAAATTTGGAGGGATTTTGACTGAGAGAGAAAGAGAAAATGAGTATAAACCCTAATATAGATTTGAGTTGGGGGAGAAGAGGAGAATGAAAAGATCAGTGAAATACAGAGGTTTCAATTGTCTCCCTAATAAAATTTCCGTTTTAAAATAACTAGTTTTGTACAAATACGATGCTCGGGTTGTTTATTGAATTTTAAAATAAATTTTTAATTCTTATTTCAAATTTTAAAATATATCATTGATATAAAATTAGTTATAAATTAATGTGCTTTTAGGACGATTTGTCATCTAGTAGGCATATAATGGTAATGTTGGTGGAAATGTTCGATTTAATACATTAAAAAAAATAGCAACAAATAAATTAACTAAATAAATGTTCAAAATCCGTTGGGTTGATTCCCAACTCAAAACTTTGGGCAAGGATTAAACATTTCTTGACCTGTAACCTGAAGTGACTCAATTCGAGATGACTCATGACCCGGCCCTAGTTAACATGTCTACATAGTAATAAAATTCAATTAGATTGTAAAGTATATTATGTTAACCGATTAGCATCAATCAATAACAATACACTAAAAGACACGCCGGCAATGACACTTGTTATCTTCTGGTGTGTCCTTAGTATATTTTTTTTTAAAAAAAATAAAAGTTTTTAAAATTGACAAAAAAATATACGCAAAATATTTACTTTCGTAAAAAAAATTGTATAATAATATATTTATAAACTTAAAAATCTAACCATATCTTTGTATAAATAAATTCCTATATAAGTGATTACGTTTTTTTTTATATATATATAAGAATTAGTGATTACTTTTTAATGTATAATGATTATTTATATATAGTTAAAAAAAATCATAAATATATGTTTTTCAACTTAATGTAGTTGGTGAATGAAAAATTATCATGTTAGGAAAAAAAAATGTAAGGTTTAAAATAGAAGAAAGCAATATACTCCGTAATATGTATTAAAAAAAGATTAAAAAAAATAATATATTTTATGTAGCTTGATTTGAGATTAAAAAAAAAAAGATTTTAAATTGATACTCCGTGACAAAGGTTGAAAAACCGTGCATGGCACGGGATCTAACCTATTATATTATAAATGTATGTGTTTACGCTTTGAATTACTTTCTTTGCTATAAAAAATATTATGATATAAAAAATAAATTTATATGATAATTTTTTAGAATAATAATTTAATAACTTTTTTTTGAATAAAATTATAATTTAAATTGTACATCATATTGGTATTTTAAGAACTTTATTTAAATCTATCCAACGTGGCACGACACTTGTCGAAAAGTTAGAACGCCAAGTGTCGCTGCCATGTGATCTGCCTAAAAGTTTAGCTTTATATATTAGTTATATGATTTACACGATCCTTGAGTGTTTTTTTTTCCACCTTTTGACCTTTAGTTAACAACTAGTTTAGTCTCGTGCGTTGCAAGGATTAAGTAATTATTATTTATTTAAATAGTTTTTAATTTTATATTCGAAAAAAGTGTGCTCATAATCTCATTAATTAATTTTAAAAAAATTATTGTTTTAATTAGTTTTGGAATATAGGAGGAAAAAAAAAGAAAGATGATGTCAAAAATAGTTTAGGCGGGAAAATTTTTAATAAAAAATTGACATCTGTCCCTAATAATGTCAGCATATTTTGTTTTAGTAATAGTTAATAAACTAGCTTATGATCCCGTGCAAATGTGCAATGCACTGATTTACCAAAATTTATAAATATTTTTATTTCAACAACTTTTTTATGATTTTTTTTATAATAAGTATGAAATAATTCGATATTCTGCTAATTATATTAGAAATTATGCATATCTTTTTAAGTAATATAATTTTGCTTAAATTTTCTTTAAGTTGTTATAAAAATGTTTTCTTGAATTTGGGACGGAAAGATTGTGTTTAAGTAGGAAAGAAAATATTATAGTGTATATAAATTGCCTAAGATAATTTGACAAAAAAAGGAAAAAAAATAAATAAATAAAAAATTGGAGGGAAATTATTTAACCAGATTTTGCCACGTGTCATTTTTTATTCGACTTTAGTATATAGTTATTGATTGATGATTATTGATTGATTGATCCGGCTGGTTAACCCATTTTTAACTCATCTCTAAATTTAAGGGTCGTTTGATTGACATAGGGTAATACGGAATGGAATAAAGAAAGGGGGAAAAAAAGAATGAAATGAAAATCCCACAAATTTCTTATTTGTTTATTTTAAAAAACAAAGGGAATCAAACCACCAATCCCACCACCACACAACAACCTATCTTCTTCGCTTCCTACCTTTTGCAACCACCATCCGACCACCCCACCATTCGTTGCACCTCACCTACCACCGCCGATCTTCGCCGCCTCTCCCAGGCCCTCGTCCCCCCTCCCCTCCCCCCGTAAAACTTTCCCCTCCATTGAAAAACATCCCCCATCTCGTAAAACCCTAGAATCCCCTCCCTATCCCTGTAAAACTGTCGTCTGTCCGTCCATCCCACCATCCTCAAAACCTTAGCCGCTAGGGTTTGTAATACTTCTACTCTAAAAATAATTGATTTATGATAAAATTGATTATCCTATTATAATTAGAACTCGTAATCATGTTGTGTTTTTGTTTGTGTTCGTGTCGAAAACTAAACATAGTGGGGAACCACAACACTAACCGGACCCATTTAATATATGTGCGTATTGACCGTTTTAAATAAACATGTTAGAAATTTTTGACATTAACCTACATATTTCATATCCGGCTCATGTCATATTATATGAAAAATTATTTATCAAAACACGAGACAACGACACTTGGCATTTCAACTTTTCGTCAAGTGTCGCACCACGTTGGATATATATATATATATATATATATATATATATATATATATATATATAGAGAGAGAGAGAGAGAGAGAGAGAGAGAGAGACTTTGTAGGATAGAAAAATTAGTTAATGTTCTATTTCAGTCAAATTTAGATAGATTTTTAGGATAAAATTGTTAGTTTAGAGTTTTATTTTCGATAAAACACCAATTTTTCATATGTAAATTGAATTATTATTTTATTCAAAAAATATTATATTATAAATCTCAATAATTACTATATAAATTTATTTATTATATCACAATATTGTTTGGAGTGAAAGAAGTAGTTCATCTAATCTATTAAAAATAATATACTTCACAATATAATACTTCATATGATTTTATTACTGTGTGTAAACCAGTCAATCGGGTTGGGTCACTTTAGGTTACGAGTTAAGAAATGTTTAATCTTAGCCCAAAGTTTTGGGTTTAGGTCAACACACCGGGCTTAGAACAATTTTTTTCACTTAATTATTATTATTATTATTATTATTTTGCTAATTTATAGAAATTTATAATATTTCATGCTTACTTTTTTTTTAGTGTGTTAATCAAACATTTTCACCAATATTATTATTAGTCATTAACATGCTTACTACAAAGTTTAAATCGTCTCAAAAGCACATTAATTTAGTTTAAATCATCTCAAAAGCACATCAATTTCTAACTGATTTTGCATCAATAATATATTTTAAATTTTGACATATAGATTAAATATTTATCTTAAATATAATAAACAACTCGGGTATCGCACGGGGAAAAAAACTAGTTAATCAATAATTCCATACAGCATTGGAATTTTTCTTAGACGGATAAAGTTGAGTTAATTTCGTGTTGGGAATCTCAACACTAACCTGACCTATTTAATTAAGTATGTTAAATTTAATTAAATGTGTCGTACTGTAGACACCCAAATGTGTCTCCCCAAAACCAAACCCAGTGATGAATACCTTTCCATCATTTGATTATCGAATAATAGCGAAAGTGTGAAAAGTCTAGTGATGAGGATGTTTTTATTAAAATTTCTCTTCTTTCTGTTTTTGAAAATATTTCTTTTCTTACCCTATTTATGATAAACGTGCATTTCAGTTTAGTTTTGTCCATGATATGGGTCCAATAATGGTGTAGTTGGATGGGGTTTGAAAAGACCTTTTCAACGATATATTATAAGCCCAATTCCGATGAATAATGAGGAAGTTATGGCCAAAATACTAAACTGTGCCCAAACCGGATTTTACCTACGACCCAATGATCATGTGGAGGGTCCAAAGGTTTAATCTTATTCCTAAACTAATTAGGATTAATTTAAAACCTTCTGTAAGTTCCTAAAAGATCTTAATTATCCTTTTTGAAAGATAAAATTAAAGAATTTGAGTTAAGTAAAAACTTTTCTTTTTTTAAACTTTCTTTTTTCTTAAATCCTAATTCTATTCGAATTTAAAAATGTTCAAAAACAGTCAGATATTATTTTCGTGCCTCATAATCTTTATCCAAATTTTATATGTTTGGATAGATCTTGAAATTATCTTTCCAATGATATATTATAATATTAAATCCGAGCTAATAACGAAAAAGATATGAATGAGATATGAAGCTCTATTTAAAACTGACACCGTCCCACTATTTCGGACATATCTTTTTATATACAACATATTTTAATCTTATTCTAATTGTTTTGGAAAATAGACTTCAAGAGCTTTCCAACGACATATTATATGCCTTATTTGGACTTTTGGATCAAAAGATATGATGAAAACAAAATCCGCAAAAACTGTTGTCTATCGAGTTTTAATTCGATTCAAATTTGGATTCTTTTCTTATTCTTCGACTCTCTTTTTTCTCTATAAATAGAGGTCATATCTCCCCTTTTTCAATCATCAATTCTTATTCTTTCTAATTATTTCTTCTCACCAACTCTCATCAAGAAATTCTTGATTCTCTCTCTTTTTCTAAACTAGCTTTTTACAAACAAAATTCCTCATACATTAGCACTAGATACACCTAGCCAAGTTCGAAGTTGCCTTCTCCCTAGACATGAAAGGTTTTAATTTCTGAGGGTTTGGTCCCAAATCTCTATTTCAATTATTTAATTTAATTGTTTGATTATATTTTCCTTGAAGTTACTAACGCGTGTATTTTGTTATTAGAAAGAGGTACGAGGCATCCAAGTAAATACTTTAATTGATTTATTGATATTATGATATAGAAATCATGTTTAGGTTGTTATTATGATTCCTAGTGTCATGTTAGGGTGTTTTGATCTTCCTAGTATCATGTTTAGGGTAACAACTATAATTTTATTATCAAATATGCTTATTATGATTCCTGCGATGCTTCCTATTCTCTTCCTAATATTCATGTTAGTATCATATTAGGGTTAAAGCTTTGATCTTTATTGTTTTGTGACATGCTAGGGTTTGTTATTAATCTTGTTAGTATCATACCTAGGATCTTGCTATTATATATATTATACTTTATTTTTAACATGAACATGATTATGTTAATTATGATTAATTTTATTATTTTAATTATGATTATAATTGTTATAATTTATGATCATGATTATTATTGTTATGATTATTAATTTATTATGATTATTATGTTGCTTGATTATATTTATTTTTATTGCTTGATCACGCCTTTTATGCATGTTTAAAGGGAATTTGTACTTGTAATCACACTTAATAAGATAATTAATAATCTTGTTTAGGGTTAATTTGATTATAATTCAAGTGATCGCCAATAATAGTTTTCTTTGTGCATTAATATTCAACCAACATAGATAAACAGGTTTAGGGTTAACCTATTGATTGCATGTTAGTTAGAAAGCGCACATGAATACGATCAGAATAAAATAGAGGCCTATTATTAGGGCAGGTTCAATCTCTTTTAGGTTGGATTTGTATCTTCATCCCCGAACTACCAGTCATGGTTCCAGACCTATTGGAGTTGACGATCTCCTGGATCGTTAAGGGGTGTAACATTCACCTCGTGAACGGTTTACAAGTTCCTAAAACTTGTTGGCGACTCTTTTGCTCTATTTTCTTTCCCTTTGGACGCCACCGTGCTTTAGTGTATGATCACAGTGGGGTTCAAACTAGGGGTAACGCTTGAAATATTCCCTACACGTACTATGTTGACTCATTAATCAAACATGTTGAAAATCCTTAACACTAACCCATTTTTTTAGTTAGCTTTAATTATAATCATCAAACATTAATATATTAGTGGGTGATCAGAAATTTAATACAAGTATATAACTATACATTCATGGTGTGTAAATCAATAATTACGACAAAAAAAATGGGAAAGAAAGATAAAATAGAACAACTAATGGCATAAAAAGATTATAACTAATTAACCTAGGTTTGGGATTGAATTAGTAGGGGAATTTTTTTCACTACAAGAAAACATGGCATTTTCGATGGATAGTTTCTGATGGCCATATAAAACTATTATTGGCTTGTAAAAAAATAAAATAAAAACCCAACAACCCCTACCCTAAAATACTCCCAACCGCCCTTTTTCATTTCCCTCTCTCTCCTCTCTTTCCTCTATTCTTTCCTTCTTCCTCTCTTCTCTTTCTTCTGTTCTTACATTCTTCTCTCTCTCGTCACTTTCCGCTCTTTCTTCAATCTTTTTCTTATCAATCTTCTCTCTTTTTCTCATCATCTCTTCTCAACCTTCTTTCTCTTTCTTCTTTTCATCAAATGTTCTAGATGTTTGACGTTTTAACACAAAGTTAGGTTTTTTAGACCAAATTCGTCCATAAAAACTCTAGATCTAGAGTAGAAGTGAATTCGGAGTTTTGAGTGGTATATTTTGAGTTAGGTATTTGTTTTTATAATTTCGTACTATTAATTTTATTTTTCAATTTACTTTTTGTTTTTAATGTTTAGGGGGTGAGCATGGGACGGGTACCCGTACCGTTAGTACTAACGGTTCGGGTACCCGATAACCAAAATTCCTAAAAGTGATATCCATAACCCGAACCAATAAGTTCAGGTACCCGGACTTCGGGTACCTAGATTTTTGGATCAGTTATCGGGTACCAAATAAGATATCCAATAATGATACTTAAACTTAATTATGTTGTTATTATGATATAATTTACCACTAATTAACAACAAATATCATATGATTTTGACCAAATTATTAATAATATTACTAATCATTGATATTATAAAGTAATTATAAAGTAAAGTAAGAGTTTAGATTTTAAAAAAATAGATTCAAGTAGGGAAAAAAGCAAAAAAAAAAAAAAAAAAAATGCTTATCGGAACGGATTGGGTAACCGTTAATTTTGAAATGATACCCAACAACCATACCCGATAAAAATTACCGGAACGGGTACCTGAACCGTTATGGTTTTCGGATCGGGTACCCTAATTTTAGGAACGGTTACGGATCGGTTTTTCGGGTAGTTTTGCTCAACCCCTAGTTTAGGTTGTTGTAGGGAATATTTCAAGCATCCCATACTTGAGCCCCACTGTGATCATATACTAAAACATGTTGATGTCCAAAGGGAAGGAAGCTAGAGCAAAAGAGTCGCCAACAAGTTTTAGGTTACACCCCTTCACAATCCATGAGATCGCTAAATCCATAGTGGTCCGCAACCTTGGCTAGATATTCGGGGATGAAAGTACAAATCCAACCTAAAAAAGATTGAACCTACCCTAAAAATAAGCCTTTACGTTATTCTTTTCATATTCATGTGCGCTTTCTGACTAACATACAATCAATATATTAATACTAAACTTGTTTAATCTATGTTGGTTGATATTAATGCACAAACAAATCTATTATTGACGATCACTTGAATTAAAATCGTATTAACCTAAATTAAATTATTAATTATCTTATTAAACGTGATTTAAAGTACAAATTCCCTTTAAACCTGCAAGAGAGGGCGTGATCAAGCAATAACAATAATATAATCAAGCAACATATAATATTGATACAACAAATCATCATCATAATAATATCCTCATCAAAACATAATATTAGGAAGATCTTAGGCATGATACTAACATGGTTAATAACAAATCCTAGCATGTCACTAAACAATGAGGATCAAAGATTTAGCCATAACATGATACTATCATGATAGAAGAAATAGGAAGCAACCTAAGCATGATACCAGAAAACATACATGATATTACAAATATTAGTTAACACCTTAAACATGATATTAGGAATCATAAAGACATCCTAACATGATACTAGGAATTAAAATAATCAAAGCATGCTTTCTAAAGATATATAACAATAAAACTACTTACTTTAATTTGTTGTCTCGTATCTCTTTCTATCAAAACAATACACACGTAAGTAACTTTTAAAAAATATTAAATCAAACAATTAATTTAAATAATTAAAATAAGGAATTGGGACCAAGCAAACCCTCAAAAATTATCAACTTTTCACGTCTAGGACGAAGGCGACTAGGTGTGTCTAAATCTCGTGATGGACGAATGGTGTTTTTGAAAAGGCAAGGTTTAGAAAGAGGGAGAAAGAATAAGCTTCTAGCTTCGAGAGAGACATAATAGAAAGATGATTGTTGATTGTTGTTGGTGAATTGAAAACGGGAAAATACGACCTTATTTATAGAGAAAAACATCTGGAAACGATAGAAAAGAGTTAGAATTCGAATCGGAGTAAAATTTCTTTTGACGCGGCAAGATAAAAAGTATCGCGGCGCGATAAAAACAGTTTTTTTTTTTCGGATTTTGTTTTTACCATAACTTTTGATCCAAAAGTCGAAATAAGGAATATAATCTTGAAGTCTACTTTCTAACCCAATTGAAATCAGAATAAAATATTTTGTATAATAAAAGATATGACCGAAATAGTAGAAGGGTGACAGTTTTGGATAGAGTTTCGTACTTCTTTCATATCTTTTTTGTTGTAGCTCGGAATTAATGTTATAATATATCATTGGAAAGATAATTTCAAGGGATATCCAACCATCTAAGATTTAGATAAAAATTATGATGCACGAAAATAGTATTTAGTTGTCTTTAAACGTGTTTCATTAAGAATAGAATTAGGACTTTAAAAAAGAGGAGTTTTATCCATTTTCGAATTCTTTAATCTTATCTTTTTAAAAAGGATAATTAAAATATTTGAGAAACTTATAGAAGATTATAATTAATACTAATTATTTTTAAAATATAATTAAGATTAGTGGACCCTCCACATGATCATTGGGTCGCACATCAAACTCGTTTAGACTTAGTTTAGTATTTTGACCATAACTTCCTCGTTATAACTCGAAATTGGGCTTATAATATATCGTTGAAAATGTCTTTTCAAGACCCATACAACTATACAATTTTTGAACCTTGACTAAACTGGATTGTTTTTCATAAATAAGGTACGAAAAGAAAGATTTTCGAAAAAAGAAAGAAATATTTTTATTAAAACATTTTAGAATGAAAACAGGGGAGTTCACGAGACTCTTCAACATTTCACCTTACTCGATATTTAATGACGTGAAAAGTACTCGTCATTGGGTTTGGTTTCGGGGAGACACAATTTGGTGTCTACAATTGTGGTTGGTGAAACAGTGTTTGTTGCGGTGGTTGGTGTTAGTAGTGTCGATTTCGGGTGGTGGGGTTGGGTCAGGAATTCGTGTTTTAAAATATGGTGGGTGTATCTGGGCTTGTGTATTAAGGATTAAGGTGGGTGGGTGGGTATAGGGTCGTAAGGTGGGGGGGAAATGGTGGTGAATTTGGATGTAATGGAGGGAAAGGGAGGGGATAGTGTGGTCGGTGGCGTCAGGGGTGGTTTTGGGTAGGGGATTTGGGGTTTTTATTTTTATTTGCAAGGATTTCTGATGGAAAAGCCATCCGAATCTCCAACGGTTTGGTCGGCCGTTGGAAACTTTCGACGGTTTTCCCATCGGAATTTACGATGCCTTCAGCCGTCGGAAGTCCCCGATGGCCTTGAAAAACCATCGGAATATTGATTTTCGATGGCTTTTCCATATAAAAAGTGGAAATTTCCGACGATGGTATTTTCGATGACATGTTTTAGATGGAAAATCGTCGGAAACCAAATTTCCAACGGTTTTTTGGTGATTTCTGATGGATTTTAACCATCGAAAATTTGCTATTTTCTAGTAGAGTTTTTTGGCACTTTTTAGGGGATTAAGTTTTTTAACCCAAGGGACTATCTTTTTAACTCAAACCAATTCATTATTGGCCGGAAAGTACACATGAGATCCCAAACGGTGAAATCTTGACATAATTTATAAATTTTTGAATTATATTTAATAAATAAAACATAACATTGTTGTTTCAACAAAAAAAATGTCATCTTGGGTCTAATTTGGTTCATCTCAATGCCTACTTTATTATTTCTACCATTAAAAAATAAAAATTTGACATTAACTACCATTAAAATGACCACGTTTGACATTTGATAGTTGTTTAATTTTTTATTTCATCAACCTACCGCCCAAATCCCAAAATTATAGTTATTGCGACCACTTAACTGAATCTGTTAGGGTTCTGTTAAGTGGGGCCATTATTTCATTAAATAATAATTTAATTTATTAAAAAAAAGAAAAAAAAAACTTATCTACAACCCTTAAAATGTTTCACCTTGTTCCCTTATGAATAGTAGCAACATGTGCCAATTGCATGTGTAAGCTGATGTGGCAAGGGTGTGGTAAACTACCTCAAAACTCCTTTCCTGCACCTCGATTGTATCACTTAGCATGCGTTTTTGCAAACAATGGAATCTTGACCTTGGCTTTTTTCTTCAATATTTTACTTTCCTAAAATATTTATCTCTTCTCTCTCTTCTTCCTCCCTGTTCACTTTCACTACAACCATCAACAATGAGCCTAATTGGGTTATCAGAACCCTAATTTTTTAATTTCTCTCTTCTTTTTCTTAATGGATTCCATTGTTGTAGCACCTTCTGGGCTTTCTCATCTCCATCAAGTTCAGCTTCTAATCTAAGAATTTTTTTTTAAGCTATGGCTAATCAATTTAGTTGTGACCACCGATCAAGGTAATTCGCAGGTTTCCAGTGTCAAAAACTTGCTCGCTTTCTCTACTCACCTTAATATCGTCGGCCTTCCAATATGTGCTTAATTTGTTGATTTATTTTGATAGAGCTGGTTTACTTAATGGTGCCACAGTCAACAGCACCGGTAGAGACCAGCGAATGAGCGGCTGGGTCGTTCTTCAATTTTCGATGGTTCGCAATGTGAGATTCTTGAAGAAGGGCGAGATGCTCAGAGGGTCGGTCCTGGTTCTCCTGTTTACCTACTCTTTCTGTTGTTCTTGAGTATCTCACTGCTAAGGTACCATTTCCTCACTCTTTCAATTTTTTGTTATATTTTCTGAATTTTTATTAAGTATATATGTAGCTTTCTGGTGATTTTTCTGCATTTATGTTTTGGTATATAAAGCTTTGAATACTTTGAATTGAATTTGAAGTTAAATTTCTGGTTTTGAGTATGATTTTTTATTTTTAGGTCTTTTTTCGTTGCTAATTTTATGGCTTCAACGAGTTGGGTATTTTGAAATGATCGGTCAAAGATTTTTATTTTTTGTTACCTATCAATTGCTAATTTTTATTGGGGATTCGAATGATTGAGTGTTAGATTTGTCTATTTTTTAGGAGTTTGGTTTGTAAAAATGAATGTTGTGGTTAAATTATGTAATTGATGAAGGAATAAGTTCTGGCTTGGTTTGGAGATGAAGCAAATTATTTTGATGGTTTAATTAGTGTGACATTGTGTTTATTGATGGGCTTCCATTTATTGATTTGTTAAAATGCCTAAACTTTAGCTTAATTATGCAATTGTTTAGAATGCTTCTTGCAAGATGGTTCAAAAAGGAGAAAAGAAAATTATTTTCAATGGTTTGTTATTAGCTGTTGAAGAGAGTAGAATGTCTGAAATTTTGTTCTTCTGAAATTAGTTGCAATAGGATATATAACTTATAAGTGCCAAGATTATTATTAGGATCACAAAAGTTGATAGAAATGTAGCCTTGTTGTCTTGGATTCAATACTTGCGATTTTTCATTTTGGCAATGATATGTTTGGGAAGTCGGGCAGGTGGGACTCAGTTGTGTTTTAATCATTGTTGAATTTCAAAATCTAGGCCAGGCTTTCGGCTTGAGGTAGCAATTTGACATAAGGATGGTGACTCAATTTTCCAAAGGAAAATCTATACAATTTGCCAATCACATCGAGCCCTATTATCATAAAAGGATATAGTATGCATCTGTAAATCTTGTGCTTATATAGTACACATCTATGGCTTTCAATTTCTGCTGGTGCCAAAGGCTTAATTGCTAAAATGTTAGAGATAAATCCTAAGGCACGTATAAGTGCTGTAGAGGCACTTAGTATGTAATTTTTTGCTCGACTAAGATTTGATGATAGGGAATTTTGTCATGAAAACTGCTTTTGAATGCCCACAATTTACATATTACCTATGAATCAGAACATCCATGGTTTAAAGAAGACAATGATCTGATAGTTCTGAGAAACTTATTGACAGCGCTATTCTTATGAGAATGAAGCAGTTCAGAGCTATGAACAAACTGAAGAAGCTCGCTCTCATGGTAACATACCAAATACCTATATATTGTTAGAACATCTATTGTATAATTGACAAATGCCTGTGTAAAATCCAAATTTTCTTAAGCTCATGCTATAACCTGTCTTGGTCTATTAGGGAATCATCCGAGAATTCGTAACTCTTTTGTATCTCTCTCAATTTATTATTGTTCTTAGTAGGTCATTTAATTTGTTGCAATTTGCATTAATTTTGTTTTTGAAAAGTATGGATTTGTGTTTAGGGATCTTACAAAATGTGGGTCAAATTTGAATCTAGGAATCGATTGTATTGATTTTGATTTGAGTAGAATTTGAATTTCAATGTTGAAATTTGCTATTATTTTGGTTGGTTGAGCATTTGAGCTTGTGTTGTTCAATGTCATTTGGGATTTGGGAAAGGAATCTTGGGGTTTGTAGGAAATGACTGTAAGATTCATGGATGGTTTCGTGATTTATAGAGAGAATGTACATGTTGCTGGAGTTAATTTGGATTAGTTTTTGTTTGGCAGGTGGAATAGAAAATCTAGAAATTTAAGCCAATAATGAAATCCAACGAACAAATAATGAAATAATAATGGAATTAAATTTAAAGAAAGGAAGGTTAGCTCATTTTATTGAGCCTGGTGCCCCTTGTTTACTTAGCTGTTGTTCTTGAGTACCTTGTTATCTCCTCCATTGAAGTAGTATTTGTGGTAAATTTTTCTTTTTATTCTTTAAATTATCAAATATCAATTTTGTAGATTTAATTAGTCTTAACTCTTAAACCTTTACTCTTTCCTACGACTTCATAATTCTATTTCATTTCATAATAAAGCACTAAAATCATTTATTTATGTATAACTCTTAATTATTTGTCATCTAAACAAGGATTTATAACCAAATGCTATTATACATTACTAAATTAAGCATTTTGTGAACAGAGTACCATATTTTCTTCTAATAAATAAATGAATTTTGTATTATTGTGATATGGTATTTTGGTTTGGTGGTTAGGGAGTTTGTTTTTCTTTTCTCATCACTTACAGAGTTACAATCTTGGAGTTGGGCCTGATTGCATTTAACCATTTATTAAGTAATGAAGTGCCAACCAAAGAAATAAGAACACACTACTAAGGAATTGTTATTGTGTATTCTTGGGAAACAATATAAGAGACTAACCGTCATCATATTCCCGTTCTAGATCCTAACATGCCATTTTTAATTTAGATGTATATTTGTGCATTTCTTGAAGTCATTATTATCTATTTTCATTGTATGTGGGAATTGATGTACACCAAATTTAGATTAAGCTTGCCTTTGATAAAATCCTCATCCGTGTTTAAACTCATGGGTCACTTTTGAGTTGCTAGAACTTCCATGTAAATATGTAAGCATTTTCCTGGTGTTCTGGTGTTGCTCAACTTGGAGATCTTGTTGTTGCTTTTCAAGTTCCTCATTCTTCTACTGGTTTAATTTGTATGCATTTTTATTTATTTGGGAGAAAACATTCTTTGTATTATCCAAGGATTACCCCTGATAACGGATAAAAGCAAACATGAACAATCCCAAGTATGATTCATGGTCTTAAGTATCTTAACACATCATTTTGATTGTTTCAGGCTATTAATTTGATTTTCTTATTAATTAGAAACTCATATGTTCAGTTTGAGGATTAGAATGTTGGGTTATCAAATTATTGTATTTGTTTAAATATGTTTGTTCCTTTCTACATTATTTTTTTAAAAACTCCTTTTTAGTGATATTTATTGTTTATTTTAGAGGTTGTAGATATGAGGAGAAGAAAAGCAAGGGATAATAAATGCTCTTTATCAAGTAGCTTTTAATTTAAGGGACATATGGCTGTTAGGGAAGAGCTCTTTCGGCGTCACATTGCTACTGATCATTTGTGTCCTTGCTGCAGCCTGGTGGGGGAGTACGTGAATCGTGTCCTTTTCGAATGCACAAAGGCTAAAGAGGTATGTGCGAGTAGTATCTTTCAAGTCTGATTGATGAAGCTCCTGTAGGTTCTTTTATGGATAATTTGTTTTGGTTTAACAGCAAATTAGAGAAACAGGAATTGCGTATATTGCTTGCTCTGGCCTGGTCTAATTGGTATTGCAGGAACAAATTTTTTTCATGAGCAACAGTCCCTAAATGTTGTCTACACAGCAGCGAGTTTTGCTAAACTTATGTCTAATTATTGCTCCTACGCTAAGCGAGTCTTTGTGAAGAATGGTGCCCCTGCTGCCCCTATGGTCAGCTCTTGGACGAAGCCTCCTGCTGGGGTTACCAAGATCAATATTGATGCCTATATTACTGGGTCGTTTGCTTCGGTTGGCGCTATGTCTCAAAATGAACATGGTGGTTTAGTGTGGGCTACTGTCAGACGGCTGGAAGGAGAATGGATGTGGAAAGTGCTGAAGCTGCTGCTGTTATATTCGGTTTACAGCAAGCTAGTAGATGGGGTAGCAGGAACAACAGCTTGGGTTTCTCTCCTCTATGGCTAATTTATGATGATATTAGAGCTATGTCTAATTGGTTTGATTTTTGTTACTTTTCACATGTCAAGTGAGTAGGCAATGTGGTGGCTCATCTCGTTGCAAGGTGGGACACCCGTGGTAGTACGGAAACTCCTTTCTTTAAAGCTTAATTACTTGGCGGAAAGCGATATTTAATAAATAGCCTGCTAATCTTGCTTCAAAAAAATTGTAGCTTTAATATTTTAAAATACGTGCGATATTGACTAGGAACATTCCTAGCCTTTTTTTGAGATTAATTTTTTTTTTTGTTGGGTAATCACTTACATGTTAATTTGCTATTGTTTGTAGTTCTATTAACTTTTATTATTGTGTATAAAAATTGTTACAATAATCTAATATGAAATTTAAACAATAAAACACCCCATAACATAGTCTAAATAAAATCTCAAACCCAATTCCTTAAATAATTAAACAATTTTGTTCTATCGGCACAATTCTATTTATTGACATTTATGTTTACTAATTAATTTACGTTTATTTTAATGTCTATTAAGAAAGCAAACATACTAGCCAAAAAAAGTCACACTTTCGGCCTCGCTCACTAGCATCACTACATTTCTTCGCGCGCAACGCGCGCGTGTGCAACCCTAGTATATATAAAAATTCCTAGCCACCTCCCCATCCCCGTCAGCCACCCTCCCCCCTCCCCGTACTGGCAACCAAATGTTCCTCCGATGCTAGCGAAACCCACCTCCTCTATTCCCCTTACCCACGCTGCCCGAAACCACCATAAACGGGTGAAAACGAAATCCCAAAACCCGTTTAGGGAGGTTTCGGGGAATGTGTTTAGGGTAGGGGTGTCGGTTTTTGGGTGGGGGAAGGGGATGGGAGGTTGATTTAGAGTAGGGGAAGGGTAGGGGGGTCTTTTCGGTGGGGGAATGGGTGGTGTTGGGGTGGGGTTTCGTTAAAACCACCCTAAACGGGTTTTAGTGTTTCATTTTTACCCGTTTAAGGTTGTTTAGGGGCAACGTTGATGAGGGAAGGGCGTGGGGTGGGGTGAGGTCACAACGTGGGGGGTAGGCCTGAGCATAACTATCTGATTATCCGATAATCCGAAGATCCGATCCGCACCCGATCCGACAATTTAGGGTAACCGATCCGAAATTTTCGGATATCGGATTGGATATCGAAAATTTGAATTTCGGTTATCCGAATATCCGAAAATAAAGTCGGATATCGGATATCCGATCCGATATCCGAAAATTACTTTTTTTTTACCCATATTTAAAGTTCAAATATTATCCATATGCCCAACAGCCCAAGCCCAAGCCCAACAAAATCTCAACTTACCCTAATTTCAAATCCGCCTCTTTCCTCTTTCTTTTCTCTTTCTCAGTTAGTCTTCTCAGTTTCTCACTCCTCTCTTAGTCTTGTCTGAGTTCTTTCTCGATCTCTCCTCTCTACTCCTTTTCTCGATCTCCGACCACCTTCTCAGTGCCTCACTCATCCACCAGAAGCAGCGGCGCCTCACTCATCCAGGCCACCAGAAGCAGCGGCGCCCCTCACTCCTTCACCAGAAGCGGCGACGCCCCTCACTCCTTCACCAGAAGCGGCGCCCCTCACTCCTCCACCAAGGTAATTAACCGTTTTCCTTTTCCTCTTTTGAATTTTTGATATAATTTATAATTTTAATTAGTTAATTTGGTTTTCAAAATTCTATTGTTCTGTTATTTTGCTTCTTCTTGATTTTTAGGTTCTATTAATTTATTGTTGTTGATTAAATTTGGGGAAAACGTTAGACATTAATTATTAATCTATTGTTGTTGAATCATAGATCAGATTTAGTATATTATACCATTAGCTTTTAGCTAAGAATCTTAGTTATGAGATTCAAGTATAATAAAATCAAAGTATCTTCTTAGTTTGTTTTTATTCTTATTATTCCTTTTCTATATTTTTGTGTAGTGAATATGATAATTAATGACTAATATAGATAGAATTAGAAAAATGAACAGAAAGATTATACATAAATTATAGGAATTTAGGATTAGTATTTAGTAGATTACTTAATGTTTAATTGTTATGGTGTTGTTAAAATTTTCTGTTTTAAAAGTTTCATATTAATTGTTATGGTGTTGTTAAAATTTTCTGTTTTAAAAGTTTCATATTAATTGTTATGGTGTTGTTGAACTGTTAATTTTCTGCTGTTATGTTGGGAGAAAATTTCATTATGTTTCTGTTCCTGTCATCCTATGCTCGTACTTCTGCTGAATTGCTGATTTAGTGATTTAAATTAGTCTGTGAAAGAACTTGTGATTGAAAAAAAATAAGTAAATTCAGTTTTATTTTGTCAACTAGTTTACATTTTGATTTATGTGTTTTAGATGGATGATGCTACTGTAGAATCTGCTAACGTAGCAAATCAACCAACTGAAGAGGAGCCCTTGGCGTCAACCGCTGCCAATGAGGAGCATGCTGGAATTGAAAAACCACCACAGCCACCAAAAAAAAAGGCCTTCAACCACTACAAGTCCATTTTTTTAATAGGATAATTATTTTTAATAGGATAATTACACATCTATTTTCTCTCTCTTTGTTCAGGTTGTGAGTAACATGAGGAGAAAATGGGTAAAAAAAATTTCAATTTTGCCATTTAAAACAACTCTTAATCAAAGTAGTCAGATATAGGATATCCGATATATCCGATCCGAAAAATTCGGATATCCGGATTTTGATATCCGAATTTTTCGGATCGGATACAAATAGCAAATATAAGTATTCTCGGATACTCGGATCGGATTTCGGATCCGTGATCAGGCCTAGTGGGGGGACCGTTTGGGCGCTAACACGGAAAGGGGTGGTAGTAAGATTCCAAGACAGCGCTGATGGGGAAAAAGGGAGGTTAGACGGTGGCAGTGAGGGTGGCTGAAGATGGAGCGGTGGCTGGGGAAGGAGGGGTGGCTGACTGGCTGGAAAGTGGCAGTGAGGTGGTCAGCTAGACAGTGGTTGGGCCCCACTAACGGAATTATTAACGGCATAAGGCAGCTGGTAGTGATATCTATAATTTTGAGATTTGGGTGATAAAAAAATAAAATATAAAAGTAAATAAGTAGCAAATGTCAAACATGGTCCTTTAAGTGGTATCAAATATCAAAATTTCCAATGTTAAAAAATTTACATGAAATCTCCTCTCTCTAAAACCCTAGCCTCTGTTGGTCTTATTTGATTTCTCTAAATGTCTAGTTTATTATTTCTCCATTGAAAAAAAAAACATGCTAAAGAATTTACATGAAATCTCCTATCTCTAAAACCGAATTTTGGAGAAGATTCCGTCAGATTTTATGGGTAGGAAGTCCCAATCAAATTGTGTCTCTTGTGTGATTTTTCTCGCTATTTTTGTGTGTTTTTAGTTTTATAATAAATCTTTCTCCGAGGAACAATTCCTCTTCAAAGCAAAGGGTTTTTCTTCTTCTTTAAAAGGATTTTTTCCTTTAAAATGACGAGGTTTTCCCTTTCTCTTTTGAGGGAAGATTTTTTTAATGGATTGTTGTAGAGTTATTTCATGGATAATGATTTGTGCAGATCAAAAAAGAGATTATTCTTTCGCATAGAATCAGATGAAAATTTTCTTCACCGCTATAACAGATCGATAATCACCCTCGTCAAAGATGACTGTAAATAATAACGATGTGAAATAGGGTATGGAGAATATACGATTTGCAACAACAATTGTAGCTTTGCTAAAAAAGATTATATTTGATCAATTGTCATGTATTTGTTAGATATAGAAATTGATGTATGATCTTTTAATTATGAATCAAACTTTATTCAGAAATTATTTTCTCTATTGAAACAAGATAGAAAAAATGCTCTTGCGGCTACAGACAAAGGAGGGAGTAAAATGTGATGTAACAAGAGTAAATACTTTTTTTTGGTGTTCCACCCGGTTCACCCTTTGGGCTAATCCGGATTCGGGGATCAGTTCTGGGTGGTTATATTTCAATCCCCTCCCAATTGTTGTTGCGGGGGATCGAACGCGGGTTCCTCTTACCAAGTGTAGTCTCAATCACCACTACACCAACAACCAATTGGTACAAGAGTAAAAATCAAATGTGAGTAAAGGTAATATAAGTATTTGGTGTGTGAATAATAACAAAAAGTGTATGAAAGTATACCTATTATAAAAATGGTGCAATTAGTATGAACTTCCGTAAAAGGGGACTGGTGCAAAAATAAAACGGAGAAAGTAATATTTAATTTATAATTTTTTTACCAATATGCAAATATAGATAATTATGATCAAAGTAATGTATTAGCAAGCATGGACAATCAAAATGGGAGCTGTAATTTTTTTTATTTTTTTTATTTTTAAATCCTCAATCCGAGCACCATTGCTAAGGGTACATAGAGGGTGATAACTAACATGTGCAATCCATCATGAATGGCTAGGAAGAAGAAATCAAAGCCTATAACTTTATTAGGTGATTGTAAGATCCTCTTCATTTACTATTAAACCTTGGAAATAAGCACTAATGAAGCACCACCAAGTATATCAACAACTCTTAATTCATTAAGTACTTCAAAAATTCATAATGGTCTTATTAGATCTCCCCTTATTCACCCTAGTGTTGGGATGATTCTAATGAAGGTTCATGAAAATATGGTTGTCTTGAATCGAGCCCCAAGGATTCTAAATGTGTATGACAATGTCAATGGAAAAATATATAGCATCACAATCAAATTTGGGGAAAAATAAATCGATAGCTCCGCAAATGGTCATTCCTGATACTCATTATGTCTTTCATAATGTTGATACTATAAACACAAATTTTGAGTCTGCGAAATAGTCAAAATAAATGCAACAAATATAACTTTTATTAATATAACAAATTTGAGTACAATCTCTAATGTAATCCACTGATTCGATCTCCATGCTACGTCGTTAGATAACTCGATTTTTTGCAGTCGAAGCTAGAATTCCTTGATAGAGGGTCAAAGAGGCTTGACCTCGATCAAGGTTGGTCTTCTAGAATGAAACGACACGCCTAATCTGGTGCTTGTTGTTCTTCTTCTAGTTCTTGAGATTGTTTTTTTTAGAGAAGTTTTAGAGAGGGTTTGAGTCCAGAGAGGTTTTTCTCTAGATCTTTCATGTGTGTGAAATGAGGGAGGATAGTTCTATTTATAGAGTTATACTAAGCTAGGGTTTCAAGCTGACCACTAAATGGGCCTCATATCCATTTCCACCTCCTTTCATAAATGACTCATTTGATAAATCAAATCCATTTTGTTGGACTTTATTATTAATTAAATAAGTTTAACTTAAATAAATAATACGGGCTAAAGTAACCCATATTAATTATGTAGTCAATATATACGAGTCAACCGTTTGACTTTGACCCAAATAATATGTAACGACACTTAAAAATTTCTATGCCTACAAATTGCCTCCTCGAGATCGGTCACGGACACGGTTTTGGAGTGTTTGATCGTGATCGGGCTCGAAATTTGCTTGACCCGATAATAATTATCGAGTAACCCCTCTTTTCTTTTTCTTCCCATGTATCCACGCTATACAAACCATCTTGTTGAATTCTATCCTTTTTGTGGATAATTAACATGAGATTTACTTTTAACAATCTTGGATATGATGTGATTATCAACTCGATTTACTGTCAATATGATAATACAGAAGACGAACCATATCTTTCAATGGAGATATATTTTGTGAACAACCAAAAATCAATCATCTCATGGGCAATCAAATCAATCCGGCCACTAGATTTACCTTGATTGAAGATAAATACTATGATAACTGATAAGCACCACTACGTTGAGCTAAACGTGAGATTTGAGCCTTATTGAATAAAAAGATAAGATAGAATCCTATCTCATGAAATAGAAGTGTATTATCCTGACTACATCTCCAGTTTGATTGGCTTGAGATAAATTAGTCAGTTAAACTTCTAAATTATCTTCTTAGAGGACAAGTTAACTTGTAGCTCTATAAATACCAGGTCACCTTCCACCGCATTAATGACATCGAATTATTGGCATTGTTATTCCAGAAGCTTCGAGATATCAACCAAACGCACACCTCGTACAACGACATTGCTGGAGCTTTGACACCCATTCAACCCCAAACTAGTTCGACCTCAACGAAGATCAGCGGTGATAAGACACTGCCTGACCTGTTCTCATCTCGTCACGCCGCGCTACAGAGTATCGACGCCTGAGTCCTTGACACGCCACGCCAGAGTTCACCATCGGAGTCTTTACCGCCTCACGCCGAAGCTACATTCGATCCCAGCCGTCATAGAATTCCGACCACCGCACATCGAAGCAGCGTATAAGCGTCGCCGCAACCGGAATTTCGACCACCACACATCGGAACTACGTTCAGCCTTTCGCCATCTTGATCGGACAAGAGTACAGGGAACTTGATACTGGGTATGCTTTGAAACTATCTCGAATTGCTTTAATAGCTCTTAATTTTGTGCTTCAATGGTTTTTGAGATGGAAAGTACGAATGGTGAATAGAGCTATTAATGTTAGACACCACCTCTTTTTCTTTTTTTTTTCTTGTTATTTTTTTTCTAACATTAAAAACATTCAAGCCACGTGATTTCTTTTTTTCTTTTTTTTTTTAATGATATCATGATATGTCAAACTTTCAAGCCACGTGATTTTTTTAAAAAATGATATCATGATATATCAAACTTTCAAGCCACGTGACTTTTTTTTTTCATTAATTTTTTTTATGACTAAATTTTGATACCACCATGATATCTCACGTAAAGTTAGACTTTTGTTTTAGAACATCATGGCGCAATTCAATTTTGCAGGGGCACTCGAGGATGACTTCTTATGTGTGTCCAATGAAGCTGCGGGTCCAGATGGAATTCATTTTTCCACCTTTTGCCCTATGACTGGAGCTCTTGCAGAGAATTGAAAAGTGGAACATCTTTCAACAAGTCTACACTGGTGGAAAGAGGTCATCGAAGGGTCGAATAAGACGCCCAAGGAGGTACTCCAGTCGTCGCATCATCGGTCATTTACTGAAGTTAAAGCATTGGACACACTCTCCGCACGCATATCTCGCAAGGAAGTCGCCAAATGGGGTTCGCAGTTACTCATTGGAGCTGAATTCTCGCATATACCTCAATATTGGGAATGGTTGGATGACATATTGCAACACTTCACACATGCTTACAAGCACAAATATCCTTGACGCTGTTTATGCCTCTATGTTCTGTTACAAACGCAATACTCTGTACATGCAAGCTTTTTGTGAAATGTGGAGCTCAACGACCAATACACTACTTACTTCAGCGGGCGAAGTCTTGATTAGTTTGTGGGGCTTGCACTATCTCAGCGGACTCCCAATAAATGGTTCTTTCTACGACGAGGTCGTCCTATCCGCCACGGAGTTAGAAGGGTATGACCAGAATGGCTCTTCGTATCTTCTTTATAGTTGCAAGTACCTTTTTGCGACTTATCAACACATTGGTGCAAAGTCTCGCGGAACTCACGTCAAATTTGATAGTTGGTGTAAATTTTGGTCTCCTGATGCTTCGAGATATTTGACTTCTTCTGACGAGAGAAAGGCTCACATACTTCCCGTGCCCATGACCAGTTTTGCTACCGTGAGTGAGACTTTCCTATGGAACGATGATGTACATGAAGCTTTTACCATCTCAGGCATCCCCGAGGCGTACCAGAAACAGACCTATCTTGCCGCTTTTATTTCTTGCTAGTTGTGTGCTTTCGTCCTCCCATTGAAAGACTTAGGCTTCATTCATCCAGGAGTATTCAAACCTGCATCCTCACTTGCAAGTGGTCGCAAAATATCTTTGGCTATTCCAGTTTCGACCTGCATTTACAAAGGCTTGAATGAGCTTTTGACTTCCGCAATACCCGGGAGACGTCCAAGATTCTTCCCAGCACATTATGTCCATATATGGATAACAAAGTATTTTTGAAGCCATCGAATGTCTACTCACAAGTACACCGGTGCCCATATGATTGGATTTCAAGGCCCTGATGCAGTCATTCACTCGTCATCTGCTGATGCTAAATCGACTATACGTTCTGGTAAATCGATCAACTGGCTTACAACTTGCCCAAATGAATATAAAGATAAAAGATTTGTAGATGACAATCAACGTCTTTGCCACAATTATGATTACTTCATCGCCATGAGATCTTGCTATGTGACTCTAAGATACGATGATTGTTACGTGATTGAGCCATACAACCCTCATAGGTTTGGTCGCCAATTTGGTTTTTACCAGGGG